CTTTTGAACAGTAGATATTTATTTGATAAAATAGAGTTGTTTGTCTACTCAATGCTGTAGTTCTGATTTTTTTTTAAGTTACTTTATTGTTAGAAAAGCCACAGTATCATCTATTTTAGTTACTTTTTTAAGTTTGCATTTTGTGCAAAGATTAAAATGAAGCCACTCTAAGCTGTTGAAAAAATCTGTTTGGATTTGAGAATCATTGTTATGAAGACATGACTTTTATCGAGAAAAGCCTGGACATATCAGATGGACTTTTAGGAAATATTTTCTAGTGTGCACCATAAATATTGTATGTAACAGAATTGAAAAGAGGAGAACAGTTGTGACTATGAACAGTATGAAAAATGAGATTGGCTTTGTAGATGCTGCAAAAGCATAAGCACTGGGAGGAAATGAAACCTCAAGTGCTGCTGATGTTGGATGGACAGGTGATGGTCACACAAACCTCGACTGCTTGCAGTAGGGAGTATTGTGGCTTTAGACACATCACTCTGCTGGTAACGTGGCAAAAGGCAAATAAAGCAATAGCGGTCTGGGGATACACAGCAGCTTTTAACCCTTGAAAAATGTTGCAGTAGTTTCTGACCCCCACTCCCCCAGTGGAAGTTTGCTGTAGCAAAAGGCAATAGGGGATTCAGAGGGAAAAATCAAGACAGATGCCTATGTAGGATCAAAACTGGTGACTGGAACAACCTGCTGCAGAGGCTCAGTGTGATGGTTCTTATGGATACTCCTGTGGCTTTTCAAAGGGTGCCTGATCTTAGATTTTTGTCACCATGGTGCAGATGTTAACCCAAGTAGCTGTCTGTAGCTTTTAGCCATGGAATACAGTATGCTTTTTGTTAAAAGAGACGGTTTTGCTTTTAGGATATCCATTTATGAAAGTTAACAGTTATGTCATATAATTTCTTTTAATTAAATGTTTTTCTTTCATGTCTAGAGGTGTGGGCAGGACCATGAATTAAAAGTAGTCTCCTGTATTGCAAAACTGTTGGAATGGGAAACATCAGAGTAGGGACTGACAGCATTCCCTCTGATGTCTGGATTATTTTTATCTCTGATGAACAATAACATAGTTTCATTTGTAACTATGCTCTGTTCTCTGAATTTCTCTTTGCTTACCATCTTCTCTTTCTCTTTATATCTGCACAAAATGCTTCCTTGGTGCTCCTTGTGATACAGCAACAGAGAGCTATGCAAATAACCATTTTACACCAAGTTTTTTATTTATGCATGAATGAACTTCCCCCTTCAGATTTTCCTTACAACTACTGTATAAACTAAGAAAGATGTGCACAGCATACACATTTTGTACTTCATGGCTTCTTTATTCATATGGATAGGTTGCTAGGGTCAAATGTGTGCAAAGTTAACTTTGATAATGGTAGAGCATTTTGTGTTCTGAAATCCACTACAATCTGTTGATTGAAACTCTCCCATCAGAGCCTACTGTTTATACTGGCCCTATGAATTTTTACTTGAATGCCAGACTCAAAACCCTGGGAAAAACCAGGATCAAATTTCAGTAAAAATGTGTAATACTGTACTGGAAACGACTGTATCTGGCACTGCAGATGGACTGAGCAGTCTCTGAGAAGAAATCTTTTGAAACCGAGACATTTGCTTTGGGCATTGATCTGATCTTAGGGAGTTTTAAATGTGCAGTCCAGAACACAGTGCACGCAGCTTTACAGAGGGGTAGCATGTACAGAAATGTAAGGTCTTGTGGCCTTTGAAGAGCTCACAGGTCTTTCATTTCACACTACCAAAAGATCGTGGATCATTGATCCAGTTTATACTGCTTAAAAACTCTTCTTCAACTTTGTTATGCTTTGCCTCCATTGTCTCCCTATATAGAAATAACATAAGGTCAGAAAGCTAAATGTTAAGTTATATATAATGTACTTAACTATACTGATAGTTATTAATTGATGTATATTAAGTGCTAAACCTTTGTTTCATGTTATTACATATTTTCCATATATTTGCAAGATTTGACAGGCTTGTTTTATAAAGAATCTAAAAGTCTCAGGATGTGTCTACATTAGCATTTTATTTAGATTGGGATCCCTAATCTCCCTGAAGGAGTTGCCCCCAGTTGCTAGGCTGTAGTTTGTGTTGTGAAGCAGAGTTGGAGTGCAAGAACAGAACTGTTTTAGGAAGGTGCAATGTGGGGCTTACCTTCAGGTAAACTCTTGCTATGGTCTTGCTCTTACTTGGGGCTATACTGGAGTGAAGGGGACAATAACCCCTCTTCAAGCAGGTATGGGCTTTTGCTCCAGCTGTTGGGGCTATTTGCTAATGTAGACCTAGCTATTTCCCATAAGGACCACTGGCTTTCATCTCCGTGCAGAAAAAAAACCCATAAAACAGTGTTTCATGATGAGGCTCAGGATCTTCTCTTTCTTTGGTGCCATCACATGTGTTATCTCACATGCGGTATTCATGCGATTTCACACAATGTCAAGTAGACTTCTGTGGGAATTACAGAGCACCTGCACATAGGTATTACTGATCTGTTGTTGCTACTGTCATGAGCAAATGCTAACCTTGAGCTACCAGCAAGACCTCACAGCAGGCTTCAGTTACAGCTGTTCATGTGCTTTAAACTGTAGAAAAAAAAAAACTGAGTAAAAATGCTTTTCTCTGAGTTTACACTGACACTGGCAAGCTGCAGTCCCTAAAGATATCTTCAGCTTTTTTAACGCAATAGGAGAAGGGGGTTTTGGCTGAAAACTTAGATCAAATTACCTATGCCCTCTACTTTAGCTGTTTGTTCTGTAGAAGCAGAACTATTCAAGAGCAAAAAGGTTAGCACTTAGGTGGCTAAATACTCCATCTTGCAGATACAGCAGGTAATTAAACACTGGGCTTCCTGATGACTAGGGTGAGTGCAAACACCAGCCTGCCTGTGGGTGTACAGAAATTTCCTATGAAACATTAACTACAGAAGTGTCATCTATATATCCACAGTTACAAATCAATCAAATTATTAAAATAAAAAAGTCCTTTTCAGTGTTTCAGAACGGCAATGTACAGTTAGAGCTCTACATGTAACCCATGAAGAGCTGAGAGTTTGGAAAAGCCTCCCACTGGGTGTTTTCACAAACTAAAAGATGTTTGTGAAAGATGTTTGCTTCTAAGGGGAGATCCTGGCTGAAGGTGCCCCCCCAGTGCCTTCAAATGAGTGTGAAATGCTAGCACACAAGAAGAGGAAACTTTATTTTCTGCCTCTGTGGGATGATGGTGCCTGGTCAGTGCCTATTGATTTTCTGTATGTTTCCTTTTATTTTTATTTCAAGAGAAGGCAAGAAGGGGAGCGATCAGTTCTCATGCTGCTTTTAAACCAGTATCACAGTTCATTGCATAACTGCTGAAATCTTACGGACACACAAGATTTGTTGGCAATAGGTGACAGATAATTTGCAGGAACAGTAGGAGAGGAGGTACCCTTCTCTCACGTTTAGAAAACAACATCCAACCTGACAACAGGACAGTGCATCCATCATCATGTGGTGCTTCCTCAAGGGCAGGATGGGAGATTAAATGAAGGTGACGTGGGAAGTTGAGACCTGCCACGTGGGAGTGCTTGTGGCCTTGGTTTACTGTTATAGTCAGTTAGGATTCTGATTATTAACAGTATTGTTACAAAACTATAAGTCTTAATATGAACCCAGGGCAACCTGGCTAATTTTCCTGTCTGCAGAGGTAGGGTGCGTAAGGCACTGTCCCACTGAAACAGTTGTGTCTGCACATGGAAACCTCCACTACTTTAACTGTTTACAATGATAACCTTATCTGTCCTTGAGATGATGGTAAAAGTGAGATGTAGTATAGGGTGTTACAGTCTGTTTTAGCTTCTCCGGCTGCATTTTAGTCAGGGCTGGTTTACTTGAGCTGTATATGCACTGAGTTCTTATTTTAGGTTTTATATTGTTCTTCAAAGAACTGGATTTAAAGATTAATTAGGGCGGAGGGGAGTGAGAGTTTGTGCCTGCAAGGGAAAATGTGACTGAACCTAGCATTAGAGCACTGACCTGAAAGCAGGGAGGGAGAAGGGAAGGAGAGGTTTGAACAGCATTCATAGTGGACTTTTTCAAGAGTAAGTATAATTGCTTTCCTCAGATGAAGGAATATAATGTTATATATATGCTTGCTGAAGTACTATATAATTAGATTATGGGATTAGCCATAATCAGGTTTCAGCCATGTAGATGTTAACAGCTGTATCTCATCTGATTTAGCATGGATGCACAGCCAGAAAGAAGGATTATCCTTCTAAATTGTATTGAAGAAGAAATACTTGTGTGGGGATTTGCCATCACTGATACACACATCGGCTATTTTAGACTGCTGTAACCAGCCTGTTTGAACAAGGAGATTTGTCACTGGAGGTTACAGAAGCAGCATATCTGCCAAGGAGCTGCACAAGTCATCAGCCTCGTGTGAGACAGGGATTTGAACCAAATGGGTCTCCCTGATAGACCGGCATTAGCAAAGTGAAGTCGGGAGATACAGACGTTGCCGATGCCAGCTGAAGTTCCCATCATTTGGACTGCGATTTTTTTTTCTACATCTTGCAAAGCAACCTTTTCTCTAAAAGAAATAAGAAATACAGAAATAAGTTGTCACTACAGTAATTATATTTTTCCTACATCGACTCTGAAGCTCACAGAAGTATCAGAGAGACGTTTCAGCAGGGCCAGCAGATTGGGGTGGGAAAATGATAAATCTGAAATGGTTGAAATGGTAAATAACTATTTTGAAATATTCACTTCATCTGTGGATTGAGACAAGAAGTCATTTCTTTCCTTTCTTTCCTTTGCAGCAGAAAAGAGCTTTTTGTATATGTTCCTAAACTGCAGTTATTCTCCCCTTGAACTATTGTGTATGAAAAGGAAGCACGTTTTTGCTGCGTAGCCCAGATGATTGCACGGGAAACAGCTTGGTTTATGGTGTAATGTTTTTGTTTAATACCTTTTTTATTCCAACAGGAAATATGGGATGTATAAAATCAAAAAGGAAAGAGAATCAGGATGGAGATGGGCTAGATTTGAAGAATCAACCAGTACGTAAAACTGAACGAACTATTTATGTGAGGGATCCAACGTCCAATAAACAGCAAAGGCCAGTAAGTAGATAGTCTCAGGGGAGAATTCCAGTAGCAAGATCAAAGCATGAGTGGCATTACTTAAATTTCAATCCAAAGCACATGCATGAAAAAGTTCAACTGATCATTAGTCCACACTTGGGCTTTTAGTGTTATGCAATTCACCCTCAATGAATAAATACTTAAAGAAATAAAAGTAAAAACTTGTGATTTGTTACTTAATTACTTTGTCATAATTTTCTGCATGAAAACAGTAATCCTTGGCAACACTTAAGGTAGACATAGGTATGACTGTAGAAGAATGCTAGGTGACATTGGAAAATGTGAAGTAGTTAGAACTGTTTTTAGAAGCAGTGTTGTTGGGGTTTTAATAGCTATGGGATCCGAGTGTTGACTATTCTGTTTAAAAAGTATGAAGTAATCATGGGTGACTCTTTACCAGCTCTAGTCAGCTTCCCTTTTAATCGCCGAAGGCCACTATTTGCACTTATATTAGGTGTGTAGGTAAGGATGGGAGGAGAGCAGAGGATGCAGTTGTGAAAGGAGCAGCACTGTGCTGCAGGAGAAACAAGGCAATGCAGTTCAGTGCGTGCTGCCTGGCAATAGAAAGAAAGGGTTCCAGGAAAGGGAATCCTGTTGGGTACCAAGTGGGTTTGCTGTTTTGCAGATTGCTTGGTACCCTTTTCTCCCAGCCTCTGTACTGTGCTGAGGAAACAGTATTTCCTGACTGTGCTTACTCAGGGTCCGTGCTGTCTGCAGGTGTGAATGACACCTTTCTCACCCATCCCACCAGCTGACACAGATGATTCAGTGTGCTCTCCAGTCAGTGTACACACATCACAAACTACCATTGTTTCTTTTTTAATCACTCTTTATTCTTGCACAGTGTTAGCAACATAGCTGCTTGTAGCTCTTTAGCGTGGCAGCTATGTCTGTATAACTGGCCCATTAAAGTGCCCTGCCTAGAGCCTCTTCATCAGAAGTCACAAAGCTGTTCACGTCTTCCCAACAGCCTGTGTCACACCTTCCCGAGGGATGAGCTGCTCAAGTCAACATCTAGTGGGGTTTACTATATTTTTATGTTGTAATTTGCTGTTGAAGAATGGTGGGAAAAGATTGGAGCATTTTCATTTAAGACATAGATGATACCAAAGCAACTGAGTAATATGTAATTGTAATGTGAGATTGTCACAAAGATCTGAAGCTGCTTAATTAAAGATATTTTTTATTGTAGGCAAATACAGAAGCACAGCTCTTACCAGGACAGAGATTTGTCAGTGAAGGTAAGTTTTCATAGGAATCTTACTGCTGTGTGCTATGCCCATGTCAGCCCCTGAAATAATATGAATGTGCCTTTGGCTTTCTGCCTTTGTAGAAACAGATGAGCGTGGAGTCATTGTGATAGCTTTGTATCCCTATGATGGCCTTCATGAAGATGACTTGTCCTTCAAAAAAGGAGAAAAATTGAAAGTTATTGAGGAGTGAGTATGACAGTACTGATTGTATTGTAGTTTTTCTTTGGGGTCATCTAATACACTATATAATGTTTTGTTATCACACTCATCACAAGTGTATTAATGGTAACAGAACTCCCTTGTATGTGAAAATACAAACACACATGGAGCTGTTCCAGGCTGGATGGGGCTTTGAGCAACCTGGTGTGGTAGAAGTTGTACCTGCTCATGGCGGGGGGTTGGAACCAGATGATCTTTTAGGTCCTTCCAACCGAAAGCTTTCTATGACTTGGCAGCTGCCGTTGGTAACAGCAACTGAACATTGATCTAAAGAAGCCAATGGCTGCTCAGGGGGCTTAAGTTCAGAAGAAAGATACTTCTCCCTCCAGTGAGGTCAAAGCTCTCGGACAGTAGAACCCAAATAACGCTTTATCATTTTTCTTTCCTGACAAAAGCACCCTTGTTTCCATTTTTCAGGCTGGGAGAATGGTGGAGAGCAAAATCTCTCACAACAAGGAAGGAAGGCTTCATTCCCAGCAACTATGTAGCAAAAGTAAACACCCTGGAAACAGAAGAGTAAGTTCTCCCAGGCAAACATCTTCCTCCTCCTGGTGTATTCTTTGTGGGTGGCGAGGAGAAATAGTTCTAACTCTCTGAAATACTTCTCAGGTGGTTCTTCAAAGACATAACCAGAAAAGATGCTGAAAGACAACTCCTGGCTCCTGGAAATAGTCCTGGAGCTTTCCTTATCAGAGAAAGTGAAACATTAAAAGGTAGGCTTTGGGGTGAGTTACTTTGAAGTTTGTAATAGAGTTAAAAACATACAGTCTGTCTTCACAAAGGAAGGTATCGGGTGGCACTGGGTGTGGAGTAGGCCCCGTGTGTCCTATTGTGTGAATTGTCTGCAGTTCTATAGGAGTGGGAAGGATGAGAAAATCACCAGGAACAGAGAGAGTTATAGGTTAACACCCAAAGCTGAGGTAGGAAAAAAAAAACCTGTGTGTGATTACACTGACAAGAAGCAGGAATGAATGAAGTGAGAGATCTTTTCCTAACAGTTGTGATTCCTTTGTTGAAGGACACTTCACTGTAAACAGTAGATGCTGTATTTCATAGTCTTCCACTATTGGATCTATATCCATTGCTACAAGTTTCACAATGTAGTTAGTGTGTAGTGAGGGTTTACTGCACTACAGTTTGGTACTTTTCAGGAACCACTTTGGTAAAGGTTTGTGCTGAAGACAGAGCTCTTTGTACTGGAAAGCTTAGTGAAGCCTCCAGACTCTTCAGTTGGGACTTTGAGAAGAGAAGAGGAGGTTCTGCCCCAGTGCTTGGACTCTTGACAGCTGCCAGATTAGATTCTCCAGCTGGTTACCCTGACACTGCATTCTCCAGGGGAAGATGCATGAAACCCTTCAGTGGGTCATATGTCTGTCCTCTCCGTAGTGTAGCTTTTCTGGCACTAACACTGCAGATCCTTGGTTAGGTAGCTCTCTGTGATGAGCCCATATCATTGTTTCTGTGCTCAGATTTCATTCAGATCCCTGAATTAATTTCCCAAAGGAAGACTCCTAAATTGAGCATAGGCTGCTGAGAGGAAGGCCAAGTAGCCCCAGAATGTTTCTTTCTAACCCCTTCTGTCACTGTATCTGTGTGTGGTGAGAGAGAAGGTAGTGAGATGGTTTCTTACCCTTTTAAAGTGGACAAGAATTGTACGAGTAGAAGAAACAAAGAGCTCTGTGTTAAGGGTAGATGCTCTGCTGCCCTATCTTAAATTCCAGCTGGGGTTATGCTGTCTGGGACTAAGTGATCTTGCTCTCCCTCCTGTGTACCTCAAGCCATCGCCAACTGTCCTTTTGCTAGCTGGCCCATGACATCCAGCGTGTTCCTATTCCGAAACACTGATCTCCCTGAATTTCAGCCTCTGCCTGAGGCATGTGACAGCCCCAGCCTTGCTTTGCCAGCCAGTTCTCCTCAAGCTGGGGGGGACTTCCTGCAGAAGCGGGCATTGGATGTGAAGCTGCCTGGATTATGGAACTCCTGAGCTTGTTGAGTAAGACTGAAAAAGAAAGTGTGACTGTAAGCATTTTGGTGACCACTTCAGGACAGGCTATTGGGTAACTTCCTCCTGTTGCTTGCAAAATGCTTTTTGAGGAAATAAAGGAGTAAAAAAAACAATCCAGGCAAAAAAGGTGGTTTTCTTAGGCTTGGCTGTATATGCATGGACACTGTAGACTTTCGCTGTTAATGGTCATACTTTCTTTATCCACAGGCAGCTATTCTCTCTCCATAAGAGACTATGATCCACAGCAGGGCGACGTTATTAAGCACTACAAAATTAGGAGTCTAGACAATGGAGGATTTTACATCTCTCCAAGAATAACTTTTCCCAGCATCAATGATATGATCAAACATTATCAAAGTAAGTTAAATCAGCTAGTGAATTACTTAATAGAATACAGTCATTGTTTCCTGTGAGGGAAAAGAAATGCTTTCTTGTTTTATTTCAAACCTTTTCATCTTTTTCTTTCTAAATAAACTTGGCATGCATGTTATCAAAGATAAAGTAAAACTGGAACCCAAGTAATGTTGTTATCATCATCAGACCTAATGCTGCTTACTCTACGGCATCCTCTTGTGAAATCAAGAATAGCTTCATAAAACACCTCATCAAAGTTATGATGGTATGAAGCTATAGTAAGAATTGCCTGCATTGTTGATAAATTAATTCTGCATTTGAGAGTAAATTTGTACTCACAATTAGCAGAAATACATATATGTTTGTGAATGTCATCTTTTATCTGGTGTTGAGTGTGGAATTTTTATTTTCCTAGAGATTTATTATGCATTTGTTTATTTAAAATAGCATTTTGAAGGACGTAAAAGTCCATTAACTTTAAAGAACAAAAATTGCACCACATGAAATATGTGCATTTATTATTTAAAAAAGGGAGAGAGGAAAAAGGAGAGACAAATTTCTACCTATGTCTTAGCTACAAAAGTGACTTTTCATTCTGCATAACCTTCTGGTTGACAGCTCCAAAGCATGGTGGTTTTTAGTCCTGTAACTGGGAAGACAGAGAAGATAAAAACTAGGACAGAAAAAAATAGGACAGAAAATCACATGGCGGCGTTTTAAATCCACGCTGAGGGTTTGGCCGTGAGATTTCTCTAAGTTCTTAGACAGATGTGGTGATTCTTTGGCACAGCTGGAAAACCTTGAGAATTATTCAAAATTTGTATTAAAGTTATAGCTAGTTAGTGTCTGGAGAAAAAAATAATGGTGACCTACTTCTGCTTGCATGCACATGTGTCTGAAACCATGCTGCAAGAAAATGTAATGGCAAATTCAGAGTACAGGTCCCAAGCCTGACTCCAGTGTGTGTCTTCCTTAACATACTGTCAGTAATCAGATCTTATATTGTATTTATTTGGTACAAATTAATAATCTGTTTGTAACCAGATTCATGTGATGCTTCTTTATTAAATTTGTCTCTGAATACTAAACTTCAGTTCAGAGGCTCTTAAAGTTATGTGAAAGCACCAGAAATGTCCTATTTTCATTTAAACACCTGATTAATTTGAACGTTATTTTCAGCTGGTTACTGCACCCCTGCAATGAAGTAATGATTGCTTCAAGTTGTGAGGCACACATATGTAACAGATTTTGTATCTTATTTTTACTTCGAAAACCAGAACAATCAGATGGCTTATGCAGAAAGCTGGAAAAAGCTTGTATTAGTCCAAAGCCTCAAAAGCCATGGGATAAAGATGCATGGGAGATTCCACGGGAGTCAATTAAATTAGTGAAGAAACTTGGAGCTGGTCAGTTTGGAGAAGTCTGGATGGGTAAGTTTATTCGTTTGAAATAAGTACTTAAATCTGATGAAAGAAATGTCATTTCAGAGACATTCAGAAAAACAGTGAATATGAACCTGGTCTGATATACTTGTAAAGCAGCAAAAATACATCCAAAATACACCTTCTGTGAGGAGAGAGGGTTCCATGAGGGGGAGCATACCTGGCAGAGACATGGAACAAATCCTATAGTGTTTTTTTTAAGGGAAAAAAATAGTAAGGACTGTAATTTAGAAGGTCAAAGACAATGGGGATTTTTGTTGTGTTTTGTGGGGGAAGCAGAAGGTTACAGTAAGATGTGACTCCTGATTCTCAAAATTGATGGGCCTCTCAGAACTTGGTTCAAATCAGAAAGTGGTAAAGAACATGAAATAAAAATAAATCGTGTCTTTTAGTGAACTATGTATCAAGTTTTCAGTGCTTTTTGGTAAAGAAGATAATGCAACGTAATGCTTGCGATTGCCATACTGGGTGAAAAATGGGGACACTTAATCCAAGGTTATTGTGTGCCAATTCGCTGCACAGAAAGTAGGTAACATATGTAGTGAGAAGATTAGAGACTGATTACCCCCTACCTTGAATTATCATGCAAGTCCCCAATTATGAAAGTGTCATAAGACTTACAAGTTTTAAATGTTAATATATAGCCAGCAAGAAATGATAGAATAAATTATTATAAACGTAATTAGCTTTGTTTTCTTATAAGCAGTATTTTCTCAGCCTCAGTGACTTCCTGTGGCAAGGGACTACGATCAGTATCTAATCACATTCTGTTAATATTATATAATCCTCTTGCTTTGAAATGCTGCCTATTCTGGTATCTGAGTATTCTTTTTGGTTCTGTATTACAAGTTCTTTGCACTATTCATCACTTACAGATTTGTTACCAGTTACCATCTTATTTGAGGTAAACGATACCTTCCTCTCAAAGTCTTCATTAGGATGTTTTTTCAGGCCAAATAATTTTTAGCCCTTCCCTGAATCTTGTTTTTTGGGTATTATATTTAAATAGTAATAAAATTGTTACAGTTATAATAATAGTGGATTATATTATTGTTGTTATTATTACTAATAAGCAAGATTCCATAGGCAGGGAATTAACTTAAAAGTGAAACCCAAAGCTTACTAGAAGGCGCAAAGCCATGAAGGGGCCTCTGATGACCCACAGGAGTGCAGTAGTCTGATGGGAATGTCATTGCTTTGAAGAGATGCCCTCATTCAGAAAAGTAAATCCCGGAGTGGTGCTGTTTGAGTGGCAAATTCCACACACAACTACAGCTTCAGTCAGAAAGCTCCAATTCAGTCATAGGTGCAATCTTTTGATATAAATCATGTAAAAAATTCAAGCAACACCACACTATATTATTCCAAATATAATTATTTCAATTATTATAATTGTTCCAAATAAGCCAAATTCAGCCTTTTTATTTGCCTTCATGAGAAAAGGGTTAAGAAAGCCTCTAGCTAAGATATACATGAATGACACTTTACATGCTAGTTAAGACGAGTGTCAGCCGTTGTGTAGGGTTTTTTCTGTCTAATAAACCAGGGGCAAGAGAGGTTTAACTGACACTGAAACTTTGTGGCAGGAGGTAATCACCTGCTTGAAAATGTAGATCATTTTGGGAAGTGACTACTGTGCACACACACGCACAGACATAAAACTTTAAAAGGGCGTTTCTGTTTCAAGATGTTTCCTCTTGTTTGTGTCATTATTTTAACATCTAAATTGGGCCTAACCCCTGCATCTGAATTGCTGCACTGTGAGAAAAATTAATGTACTGTGAAAGCGATCGCAGTGTTTCCTCTTCTGTGCTTCCTTTCTGAAGCAAGACAAGCTGATTTGCATGGCACAGGTCCTCTCGAATCAGGAACATGGTTAACCTTAGAACCAAGGAAGTTCAAGCTGGAAAAGACATATTAGGTCAGCTGCGCAGTGCAGGGTATCAGCAAACACTGTAGTGCAATGATGAACCAGTGGCATCAGAAATGTGGAGATACTAGGAAATAGCCTAGTTGTTATGCTCTTCTGATTAGGGAGCTAGTTGTTACATGCTGTCCTCATACAGAACAAAGTTATTTTTCAGCCATAATATGAATTAGAGAGAAATATTGCTCCGTGGCTCAATTACTAAATAAATTTCTTCTTGATAAAGGGTACTTAGAATTGTGGTTTCAGTGTTGCTCTTAGAGGAACTTGGCTTCCCAGTAAAGAGAGATATGGAGCTACTGGAGATAATCCAGCAAAGAGTAACAAGGATGGTTAAGGGACTGGAGCATCTCTCCTGTGAGGAAAGGGACTGTGCAGCCTGGAGAAGAAAATGCTTGGGGAGATCTCATCAATGTATGTAAATACCAGAAGGGAGGGTGCATAGTACAGAGACAGTCCGTGATGAGTGATGGCTGCAGTTTGTAAAGGAGTGATGTGCTAACATGCAAGAGGATGTAGAGAAGCTGCTGTTCCTCAGTCTCCTACCCAGCACCTCTTGAAATTGTAATGGCCTGAGACATTTATCTGGCTTCTAACAGAGTCTTTCCTCTGTAGCTCAAACAAATTGTTCCCAGTGTAACTTTGCAGGAAATTACTTCAGAAGCAGGGGAAGAAGAAGGCTGCGTCTTGTAGGCTTGTTCACAAAGTTGTTCATCTTCAATTCTGGAGGCCTTTTCAGAAACGATAGGCTCAACCTCATCACTGTTATGGATTTATGTCACAGCTTGGCCTGATTAAGCCCTTGCAAGAATCTGTGGGGCAACCTGGTTGTCCAAGATACTACTCTGGTGAGATAATCATAATCAACTCCAAAATAGATACCTGAAACACCAACAATTTGGGGAGATTTCTATTCTAACACACAGAATATGGAGAAACTGGCTTTCTGTGTGAGACATGGTCACATTCCATTCCTCAGACTTGGGTCCTATTGCTTGCATCACATTTAATTTTTAACAGAAGTCTAAACTGCAGAGAGTCTTGCTTCTTGCCATGGTATGAAAAGGTTTTGGACCATGGAGTTCAGTGAATCTGGGCAGCTTGTTTAGTGATGAGATGAACCAGAGTACCACTGCAAGAGCAGGGTCCATGTTTTATGCATTTTTGTTCCTAGTGTGCACTGATACAATGTGAACCATAATGCTCTCTGGTATTAATAATCCATGAAGAGAATTCTCAAGCAGGGCTAAAAGAAAAGATAACAAGCAAAACAGAGCCATTATGATGTATCTTATTAATGAGGCACATCCTGTTTGCATCTCACGTGTAAAAGATTTTCTCTTTTGTCAACCTCCAAATTAGAATATAAGGACTACACGTTTTGGAGTTGTGTTTTCTTATCCAGCTGTTAGAAGAAAAGAGAGAAAATTACACCACAGAAATACTTCTATGAAAATAAAATAGATCTAAAATGAACCAAGGAAGCTTACCGGTACTTCTCATCAGTATCAGAAATGGATTTTTATAGTACATATGTGAGCTGAATGTTAGTGGCAAAGAATCTGAATTTAATGTCAGAAATTCTAGATGTAAGCAAGAATTTCATTGCTTATCTATCTTTTAAAATTCGTGTCTAGGTAGCAAACTAACCGTGTGTTCATTCATATCATACAGAAGGAACACTGTGACACAAGTGGTAGGTTTGCACCCAGAGCCAGGTTCAGTTCAGCCAAGACAGGCATTAGCAATGGGCTTCAAGCCTCAGGTACTGTGTGAAACAGGGGTGATGCAGTGCTGTGGCCACCCCTTCCCACAGCTCCCTGCCTGTCACTGGAATCCTTCTGTGATGCAGACTGAACCTTACATCTGCTGCTGGTGAAGCACTCTGAGGTCACCAGCTTTGGCTCCACCTGTACAAAAGCTGCGTTTCTTACCTGTATGGTGTATCGTTATGGATCGTTATGGAATCTACAACAGAGGTTCTCACAGTAATGATAAGCAACCTGGCGTGAGGACTAGGATTTTGTTAAGCTAGGGTGGTACAGATGCATACTAGAAAGATGCTGCCAGCTCCAGGTCTGACTTGAATCTCAGCCCGAATCAAGCTATACACTAGTTTTGCTGGTAACAGGTGGGAGAGAGAGGTGGCAAATACCAGTTTTGCCAAACTGACAAGGGTCAGTTTTTTTACAGATGCCATTGTATCTTCTGTTAGAGTTCGTGACCACCTTTCCTCAGTGATTTGGTGTCTCATCCCTCCCAATACCTGGTGAAATAAATGAACATGAGAGAGATTAAGTTCAATTATCTCTAGTGCTGTCATCAGCTCATTTGCTCTGTGTGTAATCACCAAAGGATCAGGGTAGATGTTTATCCCAGCAGGAAACCTCAGTATTGCTGTTGCAGTAAAAAAACCTTTCTATGAGTAGCACCCTAGTTTGATTGATTGCTTTTGTGAATGTAAAATACTGTTACATAGTTAGTGTTAAGTGTCCTGGTTGTAATTGCTTTGCAGAAATTGCTACGTTCAGTAGAGTATTCAACAAATTGTGAGTGGAACTCGTGCTATGCTTTAGAGGGTATGGGATGGAATAGTAGTAATGGTACAAATAAGCTGCTTCTTAAGCAAAAAGAAATGCATTTAACATCTCTTTTTCTGACAGATATAAACCATATACCTGAGCTTTAACAGCACATTTGATCTGTAGTTGTCATTTCTTACTATTAGGTCATTTAGAGGCATATCTTTGTTGAGCTTTGACCTGACCACATTTGAAAAAATAGATTTCTTGCAGGTGAATGTATTGTGATAGACATAGTGGCTTTTCTCAGGTGATGATCCTCCTTTAAAAAAGGTGGCAGAAGATTGCAGTGGTCAGAGCAATCCCTGAAGATCTGGGAAAATTAGTTCCTTGCTTTCCCCCTGATTTCTTACATTAGGATAATAAATAGTATAAGGAAATTGTAGGCATTTAGAGGTGTATCCCTTGTCTGGATTGTTGCTGAATAGGGAAATGAGTCTTGAAAAGCTTTGCCTCTTCTGAGAAATAATTCTGAATGGGCATGGTGGGGGACAAAAGTTGCATTTGTATCCCTCTCTCTTTCTCTTATTTCTTTTACTTTTTTAATTAAATGACTTCATAATATAAACTTAACAATCAGCTCTTGCTACTCTTTTTTTTAATGCTGTTTAACATTTATTTAATGTTTGGAAAACATTAAATCAGAACGTAATTCACTGCTTTTTACTGGTAGTTGCTTTTTTATATAATTAGAATATTACATTAGCAGGTTTGATAAACAGAGAAATGAAAGAGCCACAGTCTTTTCCACTCTTGGCATAGGCTATGTGATAAGAAATTATCTCGTTTTAAATCTTGCCCTGAGCACTGCAGGATTGCAGTCCTGGCAGCATATCTTTGTTGGTCATAAGAACACTTATTTGATTGCACTTTCCTGTAATGCTTCATTTTGAGCACTGAGGGTTACAGAGAGGATTATAAGCATGAGACCGGCATGCATAAAATGGCCATAATCATGGAATTTAAAGATGCTCCAGAATCTTGCAAGTAACCTGTGGACTCTATTAGATTCTGAGACAAGTTTAGTGAACCTTCATTAAAACACGTTTTGACTGAATATTTTAGGAGCTACTTGTACATTAAAACTTTGTATAAAGATGATTTGTTGCTTTATTTGTTTTGGGTTTTTTTCAGATAAAAGATTTCTCAAAATGAGGAATGGATTATTTTGCACTGCAGTCTTGTATCAGTTGCAAAATAAAAAGGAATTCTAGCATAAATATTTGTGCTACATCTGGCGCTTGCTCTCAGCCTCTTAGCTATTACTGGAATCCAACCTCAGCTGCTTTACAAATTCCTAGTACTGTGTGGCACAGAGTGCCTTGAACTGCACTGACCGTATTCCCTCCTTTTAGGTTACTATAATAATAGTACAAAAGTGGCTGTGAAGACTCTGAAGCCTGGAACGATGTCTGTGCAAGCCTTCCTGGAGGAAGCCAACCTCATGAAAACACTTCAGCATGATAAACTTGTAAGGCTTTATGCTGTAGTGACCAAAGAAGAGCCTATTTATATTATAACAGAATTCATGGCAAAAGGTGAGAACAGTGTTGGATCTATGAGCAGTGCTTTAGTAAACTCTTCTGCTTCTTCCAAGTTAGTCCCAGTTCTTTAAAAAGGAAGGAATAAAAAATGAAAATTTAGGATTTTAGCATTATTCTTTTGAATGCTTCAATGCAAACTGAAAGAACACCTGTCCTAGAAGAGGGGTGAGGCTTTAATTTTATGATTCATTGCTGTGGTTGTGATTGCTTCAGAAGCAGAGCATTACCCCAAAATAGCTCTGATTCCTTTGGGCTCCCTACCTCACTTCTGTACCTGGAGTCATGGCAAGGCAATTAAAACAAACCTTAGAAAAGGCCTTACATGGCTCTTCAGTTGGTAAATACATAGGTAATAAGGTGAGTGATGAGTGGTCCTGCCAGGGTGGTTGCACTACTAGAAAAAGACAATCTTTATTAGAGCATTACTACACAAAGTAAGTGAAGTTTCCTTCTTAGATTTTCTTGGGTGCTATATTTTCCTGGGCTGTTCTGTTTTCAAGAAATTCTGCTGGTAACTTCATAAACAGGTGCTGAGCCACTTAGTTTTTATGACGTGGAAAGGATTGATATGTGGGATTCTCTTAAACAGCTTTCCTGATAGTCCATAGACTAGGGTACTTACCAGAGTCAATACCACTGAACTAAGGTAAGGTCTGATGGGTTTTCTACACCCAGGAAAATGGCAGCACTTGTATGCCTGACATGCTGACTTGGATGCTACCATTGTTAAACCATGTAAAGAGAATGCTTTACTGTAGTCAACTTGAAAATACATCAAAACACTTGCCTGCAAAAATTTTGTGATCAAGAAAATCGGGGACCTGGCGTGACCTTTATTTCAGTAATAAGCTGCACTGACTTGGTCTTTCTCTGTTTTAACAGGAAGTTTGCTGGATTTTCTGAAGAGTGATGAAGGCAGTAAATTGGTGCTTCCAAAGCTGATTGATTTCTCTGCTCAGGTAAATTTTAAGAAATAGGCTCAAAATTAATGGGGTTTATTTCTCTCTGAGTCTAAAACTCCAGCTGGGCAACTTTGGGGTTTTTGCATTAAAAGAGATTTTAATTTTCAGATAAGTTTTGCTCTGAGAAAATAAGGTTGCTTGAAAGGAGGGAATAGATAAAACAGGTTTGAAACAAAACATGTGAAATTAGGCTTAACTTGCTGCTGGTGACCTTCTAAAGATGCTTAGACTGCTTTCGGTTCACATGGCTGTGAGTTGGAAGTGTAAGTACACATTTGTGAGTTCCTGCTTACAAGATTCCTTCAGTGTTAATAAATGCATCATTTTTACTTCTAAGGTCAATTTGTGAAACTTCTCTGAAGCTCAGAGAACTCTTACATAAATGACCGTGAAATAAATGAGACCTAGTCAAATGATGTTTCAGAATCTGATTTATGAACCAAGAAAATTGTTTCAAAATATACTGGTCATTCCATGTCATAAATGAAATACGTAGAGAGAGGCCTCAGACCAATTCATGTGTGTCAAAACCTGGATCAAAAGTGCCTGGAGCCCAGCGTTCCACCTCGTACAGTTGCCAGCGTTAAATGTCCAGTGAGGCATATAAGAAAATAGGGTAAGAATTGAGCAACTTTTGCAAGCTGTAGTTCATGTTACTAATAGGCAATGAAAAAAGTTCTGGTAGGTTATTGTTTCACTGACCTTTCTGGGGTTTTTATTATGCATTGTAGTTTACAGACTGTTGTACCCTATAACTAACTTGTTATAATCCATGGCAAAATATGAGAAAACTTTGAAAACATAAAAAAATTAGGGATTTATAAAAAAAATCACTATATTATGTAGTTGTTTAATATAACTATTGCTGTATAAGTGAACAGAAGATTAGATATTAGGAAACATTTCTTTACAGACAGAATGGTGAAACACTGGAATAGGCTTCCTAGAGAGGTAATTGATGTCTCAAACCTGTCCGTGTTTAAGAGGCATGTGGACAATGCTTTTAACAGCATGCTTTAACTTTTGGTTGAAGTGGCTTGAAGTGGTCAAGCAGTTGGACTAGATGATTGCTGGAGGTTCTTTCCAACTGAAACTCTTCTGTTCTATGGGATATTTACCCAAACAGCTCCCGGTTCTTTTTTTCACAGTTCTTAAAATCATATTTGCTTCTGTTTGATGAGATCTGCTGAAAAAGTATGGTGTAAATTCAGTGAACCTTTTGCATGTATAAACTCTTCGGGCTGCTTTTGCAAATTCATTATCTACTTCTGCCATGTAGCGCACACATGCCTGGTGGTTGTGGTTAGGAAAATGGTCTGAGTTGTTGCTGTGCATACTCATAACTTTCTAACCATCTCTAAGTAATCATTTTTACCAGATTCTGGTTTAAAATAGAGCAGGAGGGGATTGGAGAGCCTAGTTGTTTTTCAGTATTTCGGGAACTGTAGGTCACACCCTGTTGTTCTTTCCCCAGAGTGCACTTCATTTGTAACCAAATAAAAACTACCTGAAACTTAAATACTGATTCAGCACTTATATTTTTTCCTCATTTTGCTTGCCCAATTTTGCAGGCAAGTCAGGATGTGTGGATTTGGATTTACTGGCAGTTTTCAGGTGTCTCATAAACCACTCATGCACTTGAACTGTCCTAACCCACTTCTTTCCCTTTTCCACCCTGTTTTTGCGCCTTTGTCGTTCACATTAACCATGTGTGCATCCTTGGCCCTTTCAGTGGAGACAGAAGCAAAAGCAGGCAATTAAAACCTTCGCTGTAGCATTTGTATGTAGTCTTGTCCATCTGTTTTATGTGAATGTTTTCCTTGGTGTTGTCCTGTTACTAATGAGTCCCCACTTATACTTACAATTTGTAGCACTTTTCTGTGGGTGAGCTCTTATGATTTCTGTCATATTGGGGTATTGTTTTTATATTTTGTAACTTGTCTTTGTCGTACTGGAGGGTTTCTGGCCAGGTGTGATTTGGCCACATTTTTCTCATGAAACACTGTCTTTATGGTAAGTGTCATTGCCCTTGCATTTAATAATTATGGGGTTTTGATGGTGTGCTTGTTCCTGAGACTCTTACCCCATGAGGTTGCACTTGTCAGCCCTTCAGGTTGTTTAAAACTTGCTTTCCTTATAACAAACAGACAAACAAACAAACATAACAAGAAAACTTCATATTTTGCCATCATTTCCTTTCATTTTCATTCCACTCTTTTTCATTATCCTTGTCATTTAGTTTTTCTTCTTAACATGATGTATGTTCTCAGTATGGTGTAAAAATATCCTATTAGGTTGACCTTAAGCAAACCCATCTGGCTTCTTTAGGACTCCACATTTTTGCACACAGCCTAAAAACGCACAGTGGAATCAACTACACCTGTTGCTGTAAACCTCTTTCTGCATGGAGAAACAGCAATGCAAACTGCTTGTAAAACATGGTTGGTTTGTGATAACTCTTGCAAAAGATGATCACAGACCTTGGAATGGAAGTTGAAATCAAGTGCACTTTTGAGTCTTAAAATGGAGCTATGAAGGAAGACAGAAGTTCTCTGGTTTTGTAGCAAAAAAAAAAAAAGCAAACCCAAATGAAAACAAAAGCTGGATGTTACCTTCTGAAATAGAGAGAAGCACAGGACTGCCCATCCCCCTATGTGCTGTTCAGTGTTAGCTATGATGTTTGACCAAGGACATCTGTGAGCTGGGACCAAGTACTTTTGCTTTTCAGAAGGTGTAGCTCTTCTTTGTCCTTAGGCAGTCCTCTTCTGTAACGGCAGTTTATTAGGTTCTCCCCTCCCTGCTTCAAAGTCCTTTGCTGCTTTCTCCAAACACCTTCAGAAGCTACAAAAAATGGGTCTGAAAGCAAAGCAGCACTGCTTGCTCTGTGATTTTGTTACCATTTTCTTTCAGGAATTTGCAAGATTTTTATACCTGTTTGTGAAATGACCCACAAGTATTCCAGCAAGTTAAGTTAATTACCCTGTTTTATAGATAGGAAGAGCAGAAACAGAGAGGAAGGAGCACTGCCAGCTGAAACCATGCCCCAAATGGGTGACAGAGCTGCGTGCAGAACTGCAGCTCCAAGTCATCATTCACTTGGAATGTGACTTTCAGACCTAGCTTTGCAGTATGGAGGCTGACTTGTGGAGTCATTTATTTCTTCCAGAAAGCTTTTCTTGCATTCTTACCCTGTTTCCAGTGTTCAGAGATTTGGTGGTTGGTTGTTTGTAAAAGGATTTAACTTGGGTATTTCTGGAAGCATGTCAGTACTTCATTAAAGGGGAAGGGGAAACTGCTCCCTTCTTGGTAGTAACACTTGTGCAGTGTAGGCAGAATCTTCTCTTAAAGGACACAAAACAAATTCCAGAAGCCCAAATTACCTTTCCCATCCCATTCCTGAGTAGTAGTTACACATAGCCGAACAGTCTTGACAGGTACCAATGATCATTAAGAAAAAGGGGAAAAGGCTTTCTTTTGTTCCCATGAATTTCTCTACCTTTAACATATCATTTGGCAATGAAAACCCAACAATTATTACAGAGTTATCACATGGGCTTTGGCACCAATTCCCTTGATGAAAAAAAAAATCTTCTTTTCTTTCTTTCTTTCTTTTCCCACAAGCAAAGGTTTAATGTGTGAATTGAGTTGTCCAGTTGCTGCGTTTCCGCTCCTTCTCCCATTCAAAATTCCTTGCCCATTATTCTTTTCCTACTGGGGAATTTTTTGCATGCCCAGATGTTGGCACATATGTGGCTTCTTTGAATTTCTCTGATTCTGTGCAGTCAAAGCCATTGTCCTGGCATTTCATGGAAATGTAGTCTGTATTTGCTGAAAACTTACTGATTGTTTGATGTTGCATTCTTCATCTGTGACTAATCAGATGATGACTTCAGTGAGTCTGGCACAAGTAAGAGGAAATAAAATGGTCTTTCCTATGGCTTTGCTTGGTTGGGCTTGGAAAGTAAATGCTGCTATCACAAATGTCTCTTTTGTGAAGTGAATGTCTCCCCAGACAGCAGTTTGCCCAAATGTTAAATCCATGCAGGGAAGTAGGAGGAAAGTTGATTTCTTTGTGATGGTTGATGTGATTTTGGTGATATTAGTGGACCTGTCTGCATTTTGGTCATATCTGCCAAGCTGGCTAGTTCAATCTCAGCACTGATCTTGCAGCAAAGCCTTCTCTTTCATCTCTTATTCCTTCCCTAGTGGTGTGGGGAGGAGAGAGAAGCTAAAGCAGGCTCTGAATTGAATACTACTCTTCTATTTTGCCTGTAAGTCTTTAGTAAGACCCTATGTGGCAATTTTTCAGTAGTAGTTGCTTCCTTCATTATGAAAAGTCTTATTTCTAGAAAAAGTGAAATGCAGGTGTTCTTCATTCTCTTCATCATCAGGGTTGCTTTCTGATTTAGTGTGAGGACAAGCCCCCCCCCCCATTGTATAAGGGGAGTATAGTAGTCTGCTCTGAAGAGTATTATCAGTTTATAAGAAGAGGTTTGCAGTGAAGGAGGTGGGAGGGCAAGTGGCTCTATTTTTCCATTGCCTAAACCGAAAAAGAGGAATGAAGACCTCACACACGAACGTGTGGTTTGTGTTGTAAGTGGTGGCAGTGTGTGCCTTCACAGGGGACCTTCCTCGGGGACCTTTTAAAAATGGGTAAGCAAAAGTGATGTTCATGTTTTCTTAAGGTTCAGTCAGGTGCTCCTGCCTGCTTTACTGCACAGCTGCAACAAGCACCTCTGGTGCTGAGAAGGCATCTGTGCACTTGCCTTCTCCTGAGGTGGGGAGAGCCCGTGTATGAGTGTGCCAGGGACTGGCACTGGAGAAGGGCCCTTCCTGCTTTACCGGTGCTTTGTTAGCAAACCTGAGAGCTGATGCATTCCCCAAAGCATGAGGCCATGAGTGAGCCCTCTGTCACCCACAGACATCCTGAAGAGGTGCCTGTGGCACAGGTTGGACCATGGCCCTGCCTGGGAATAACCCATCACCAGTCTCACAAGGAAGAGAAAAACTGGCAGCTGACAAGCACTGGGTTTATTTTCCCTTTTTCCTAGCTCCTCTTTTGGACAGAACACCATCTACACATCAGTTTTATTGCTCTGAGTTTAGAAACTATTATTTCAGTTTCTTTTTTTTCTGAAAAGTGGCAGCCTGGGCAAATACTGGGGAAAAGATCATCCTCAGTGCATATTTTGAGGACATTAATCATCTTTGATTTGGTTTGGAAATCAATTTGGGCTGCTGAAGTACAAATTAAATTTACTTACGATAGTATCTGAGAGCTGGCTGTTGTTAAACACTCCTCGTTACATGTTGCTGTAGAAGAAAATAAAGTTGTTTGACCTCTCTTAGTAATTGTTTCCCGATTGTCCAGGCCTATTCTGGGTAAATAGAATGTTGTGGGGGGTTTTTCCCCTTCTCTGCACTGTTTTTCATCAGTCCTTAAAAGAACATCTGTATCTTGTTTGACTTATTAATTCCTTACATTTTCTTAGAAATTGGAAAGCAAACTCAGTAATTTGGGAAAGAAAATGTCTTAGTAGAAATCTCAGGAACATTTTAATTAAGATTTTGTTTCAGGAAATATGTCTAGCACAGATCTCTGATCTTGCCAGCTGTTAATCACCCAAACAATTTTTTGGAAGCTGCTACTGTAAGTATAGTATTGCAGGACTGGATCTACATGTAGGTTTTCCATGGCAATCACCCATTCCTTGCTTCCATCTGAAAAATGCTCCAAAGACAGAGGTAATGAATAAATGGATGTGGTTTTGATGATACCTTGAAAGAACAAAGAGACCTGCTGATGGTGTTGTGTGGTGTTAAAATATCAAAATACTTGTTTTTTGGTTACAGATTGCAGAAGGGATGGCATACATTGAAAGAAAAAATTATATCCATCGGGATTTGAGAGCAGCAAATGTTCTGGTTTCGGATTTACTGATGTGCAAAATTGCTGATTTTGGGCTAGCGAGAGTCATCGAAGACAATGAATATACAGCAAGGGAAGGTGTGTACTTTTGTTTTCATCTTTAAAACTTCAGCTTCTGAGAGGCAGTGGGGATGGATCCAACAATAATATGGTCACTAAGGACAGAAAATGCTGTAGCAACTTCCTGGAGGCAACATTCTAATGCCAACAACTTAAAAAGAATAAGGAAACAAGCAACCTCTCTGCGCTCCCCAGGCTTTTTGAAAAGTTTGTTTGAAATAAATCTGAAGAACGAAGAAAATTGAGAGTATTTAACTGCAGTTTTCTCTAAATCTCACAAATTATTTGCACAGCCACAGCTTCCATCCCTCTGAATTAAATGCCAAGAAAATTCATTCACATTTTCTCATCACATCTTAATGTGCCGTACGTGCCTCCTTTCACTTGGAGAAAGGAAGAAGCCCTAGCAGGTGTGGTTGCTGGTAACAAGGAAACCTTTAGCAGATCTGGTTCTTTTGAAGCTCCTTTAGGAGCTGCAGCATTGATTTGCATGTTCAGCAGCACTGAACACTGTAGGGACACTGGAAACCTGGGTCCTGTTCGTCACATGGATGGGAGGTAACATTGCAGCAGGGTCAGGACTGCAAGAGGGGAAATTGCGATATTAAAGATATTTGCCTAGGTTTTGGCAGGTGTGTTTTGCTCATTTGGTGAAGGATCCTTTTAAGAAGTGAGTAGTCAACTTGTAGTGAAAAGTTTTTATTTATGCTTTGGTGCACGGGTTGCATTGTGGTAACTTTGCAGAGCAGGTTTGTTGGCTGGCTTTCCCGCTCTTGTTTTAAAGACACTACCTCATATTTTCACACAGTCTGGATGGAAACTGTGGTAATGTAGGACGAAAGGGGAAGAACTAAGGTATGAGGAAGAAAGTGAACAGTGCATTGCTGTTGAGATTAAAGGAAGGTGAGCTATTCAGCAGTCACTGAGTAACAGTAGTTCAGTAGAACAAGTATTGATTAAATGAACCTTTCAGGTTATAAATTCTTTATGCCAAGTTTCTTTGATGTGTTTTCTGCCATTCAGAAAAGTTTCCTAGCTTACCTGGTATTTTGCATCAGAATGATAGAGCAGACTTAAAAAGGCAGAGAGACAATCTGTTTGTATTACTTTTCATGGTCTGAAGAGCTAATGTAATATTTCCCAGTAAAGGTTGCTTGAACTTTTCTTATTTAACTGTAAGGAGTTTGCTTTTATATGTGATTTTCTGGGATCAGTTAATTAGACATGAAAGACATTATTTAAAGGTATGACTTCTGAAGATATCATTTGCTACTGCCTTTGCACCTGTGGCTGAATGTGAAATGTGTTGGGGTATGTGGAAGCTAGACTGACTTTCTTTAAAATAGGAAAAGGTAGTTAAAGTCTTGCAAAGTTCCAGGTGATGGGAATTGTAAGATTGTTTCCTGACCACTGGTCAGAAGGAAAAATGGTGACTAATTTTAGCATAAATTCACCATACCTTAGAATTAAAAGGTGCTACATAACATTTGGCATCTTATTTGAATCTGTGTGGCAACACATATCCTGCAGTACATCTCTGCTGATAACTCTTGGATAGAAGGAGCTGCTGGGAACTTTGCTAATTTAGGAGTATCATAGGCAAGTAATTTAAGACCTGTTAGTGACTTGATATGGAGTGTTTACATTTGCCTTTGACTGATTGAAACTGTTCTCTTTTTTGATTTAGGTGCAAAATTCCCTATTAAATGGACAGCACCAGAGGCAATTAACTATGGATCTTTCACTATTAAATCGGATGTGTGGTCGTTTGGGATCCTCCTGTATGAAATCATTACATATGGGAAGATTCCTTATCCAGGTATGGGCATGTGTTTATACCATTACTCTGTATGTATACTTTGGTGTTAAAAAGCAAAGAAACTATCCAAGGAAAGAGCTGGCAGCCGACAGTAGCAACAGCAGTGATCTGGAAAATGTCTTGCCAGGTTGAAGAACTTTGCTTTGAAAAATTGTAGTCACCATATGTATGACTCTGGGGTAAATGTCAGCAAACAGAATAAAGGCACCATGAACATGCAGTTATTTTTATATATTCAGAAAGGGTTAAAACCACAGTGAATACAGCATTGTCACAGATCCCACCTTTATGGTCCACAGCACAGTCCCACAGCAAGGATGCAGTGCTACAGGTTCTAATGGTGCTGCGTAAGCTGCTGGGGTTTTAAATATTGTAGTACATAAAAGTACTAAGAGAGCATGCTTTCACAAGCAAATAGGCTGTTAGATAACCAAACAAATATGAAAGCAGACCCTAAACTAGTGTTGATGTACTGCTTGGAATATTTACTCTTCGTTGCTCCATACAGTTCAGGTATGAGAGCACAGCGGAGCACATCATCTGTGGCTGCTGCATTAGGTAGCTGGGAAGTGGTTACGTGCTCCATGTTTCATTTTTCTTTCTTCATGTTTCTTTCATGTCTTCATTTCTTTAACACATCTGTTAAATGAAATACATATTGTTTCCAGCATACAGCTAGCTTGTATGAAGGGTATTTTTACAGACACAGAATTGTCACATCTCAGGCATAGCTGATTAACTCTGTGCAGCAGACTGTATTCATTTAAGCTTACTGAGGTTATGGAAAATTGACCTAAAAGTTATCTTATCTTGTGAGCAAGTGGGGCAGGTACAGCCATGTTCACCTGTACTTCTGAGAAGAACCCTTAGGATCCTGCAGTTTACAGGCAGTAAAGGAAGAGCAGGTATTTCCTCTAAGCAAAGCTTTCCCAGCACTTCCAGTGCAGCAGCTCTTGCTATTTAAACAGTGAAAACATTTTCACTGCCACTTCGTGAGTAACTGGAATTCTGCATAACAGCCAGAGACAACAGAGGGGCAGACCTGAGTCCCTGAATGGACAGCAGGCTCACCAGTTTGAGTACAGGGAGACAAGAGACTCAGGCAGGGGAGAAAGGGTGATGGTGGCCAACTTTATCTTATGGAAGAAGTTATCAACTTCCCATACAAGAGGCAGAGCCAAACCAGACATCCTCGTTGCTCAGTAAGGTTCTAGTCCAGGAAAGCACTTAAGCTCAAGAGTAGCCTGTTTCGACTTCAAGAGGTGATAGGGCTGCTTGGACAGCAAAGTGTTCAAATATATGCTCTTTAGTTTTTTAGGTAAGGGCTATAAAATATGTGACTGAGTAGCAGGTCCTCCCAGAGTGTTCTAAACACTGCTCATGTCCCCAGGGAGGATCAGATGGGAATTGTATGCAGCCAAGTAATGCAAGGTTCTTCCCACAGGTGGTATACTTTTTTTCCCATTAGCATGTGCCTGTGTACCCAGACAGTTGCCTATGCTGAGCTGAGCTCACAAGGTTATTTCTGGGTGCCTTGAATATTGTCCTTCCCTGAGCAAAACCTATGGGCTCACCTGGAAACCAGCACTACAAACCACAAACTCCAACACCATATTTCCATTTTAAGTACAAAATCAGTCAGTACAGCAGACATGGTATTGCTGTACTACTGCGGGAAAATACCTCTTCTAAAGGAAGTCTGGGCAGTACTTTTCATAAGTATGTGAGCATTTTTAGGAGCACCATAAATAGGCCAGACACTGTGGATTCATTTGTCAACGAGCAATTAGAAGTTCAAGCCTGTTGACGGCATACTGGAAGATTTTAATAGTTTGCAAGCATTGCTCACATTAAACTGGAAGAGGAATATATGTCTACTTTAAATAGAAGTATAAATTGGAATAGCCTATTAGACTGAAAGTTGATAACTGAAGAATCAGAACAGCAGAATAAAAGGGTGACCAGTTTACCCTACATGAAGAAATGTGACAGGCTTGGGCAAATTACCCAGGCATGGCAAGAGTAACTCTCTGTCTCAGTATGCATAGAGTCTGCAGCAAGCAGGTTAGAAGCTCTGCAGGTAGAGACAATGGTTGATGCCAGGGTGGGCTGTTGCTGTGAATCTCACCACCACTGGAAGCAGAACAAATGGTGGCAGGACTGGTCCCAGGAACAGAATGGAGCTGGTTTTGGAGACAAGAATTGCTAGCTCTCCCACAGTCATGTTAGTCTTGGCACAAAAGAGGTCACTGCACTCAACTGGGGAAATGGAAATCTTCCCCACAGGGTTTTCAGAGCAAGTTCCTCAGTACCGGTGCACACCTCAGCCTTGTTTATTGAACTCATATTAGTAACTACCTTTAATAAGTAGCAATAGTCTTGTATCATGGTGAAGATCTTTAGAATTAAGTAGATAAAAAAGAAAAAAAAAGAATTTTTTTAGGAATTGAGATCATTTAATAAAACTTTTTGTTGTTGTTGTTGTTGTTGTTGTTGAAGGCATGAGCAATTCGGATGTGATGGTTGCTCTTCAGCGTGGGTACCGAATGCCACGCATGGAAAACTGTCCAGCTGAACTTTACGATATCATGAAAACATGCTGGAAGGATAAAGCAGAAGAGAGGCCAACATTTGATTATCTACAGAGTGTGCTTGGTGACTTCTACACAGCAACAGAAGGGCAGTATCAACAACAGCCATAGAGCAAAGAACACTTTTTCTATTGACATGAATCATAGGCACAGACTGCTATTTGGACATACTGCTCAAATTACTTCACAAGTTTGGATGTCTTAACTGAGTGTGGAAGTTGACATGCTGAAGGAAAGAGTAATTCTGCAGAGAAAAAGTAGTATTTTTATTTGGTTAAAACAGTTCCTCTAAAGCTTGAAGTTCTCCTTAAATGCTCTGTGTTTGGCATCTGCAGAATCATCCCAAAGCAAGCGGGCTTTTTGGGGTGGGGTTTAGATTCTATTCTACGATTCTAAAGCCATCATGCACAGGGTACAGTTTGCCAATACGTTCTTAGGATCTAAGTTATGCAATACGTTACTAAGAGACCTCTATAAATGGGGCAAGAAGATGCCTGAACAGCTGTTTTCAAAAGAAAAAGTCATGAAGGAGAACTTGGAGATTTAAAACATGGTGATGTTCATAAATCGTCTTTTTTGGAATGCAGCATCTTGTGAAAATTATTTTTATATCTTTGCTATCATTGTTATTTCACATTAATATCTGGAGTACTGTCACCTCTTGTAAGACTTTCTGAATATTGTCATGGTTTCCTTTAAGGAAGGGTGATGTATGTAATTCTTTACGCTGAAGATGATTCTGTTTTACTGCTGTATTACTCATATGAGGTTTAAAATCATTCTCAAAGCATCACACAGCCATCACAGCTGCAGAAGTGCAACATGAACACACAAGACAGCAGGAGGGGCAGCACACCTAGGAGTGTGTTGAAAGTCATCATCCGAAGTCCATGGCAAAGCACAGGATTTTGAAGGAAGTTGATACTTTCATTGCAGTCACTGAGACTGTTACCAGTGAAAATATTTTAATCTTAATTTTAACCCTCTGTGGTTATTCAAGACTATTGTTATATTTTTGTTGCTTTAATCAACTAACCTCAAAATGTGTTTTAAAGCTAAAACTAGCTCTAGTCCTACCAGAAACAACTTGTGGAAATACACAATAGGATGTCAAGTTACATTGCAGTGACACTATACGTGTGCTGCTCACTATCTAAATCCAGTTCCTAAAAGTGAATGCGGTTTGCTAAGCTCTACCTATAGAGGTGTTCTATCAAATTACTTTCCAAAACATCTGAGCTAGTGCAATTGCAATGTAACCGTTGCATAGCTTCCTTTTTTATTCCCCCAAGCGATGCTGGTTCTTACAACTGAAAGCCAGCAGTCTTCACCGAATTATTTAGGCAAATGCTATGTTGCAGAAGCTTAAAACCTTTTTGAGCCTTAGTGTGCCTGTAATGAGCAGTATAAATATTCATTGCTTTTCCATTGGTTTCATTCAGTCAAACTGTGCAGTTTAAGCCAACTATCAGTTAAATATGTAAATAGTTTCTATTGTATGGTGATTTTTAATTTTAATAAACACTTAATCTGAAGCAAGTTGTATGGTAGTAATTTGAAATTAAACAAATTGCTGAAGTTCTATCCAGAGTGGTAGCTTCATATGGAACAGGTGAACATCTGTTCATCACCACTAACAAGATTAAGGGATTCTGTTTCCTTATGCCTGCTCAGCTTTGAGAAACTGAAAAGGACCAAACCAGCTGTTTCTGCATCCTTCTTAGGGTTTCTGCTTGACCTGGAGGGCGGGAAGAGAGGAAGTCAGTCCTCAGCCATCCTTTAAAAGAGTTTCTCAAAAGTCTTTACTGTAATACCAGCACAGTCCACCGCAATGCTCTGGAAAACATCAGTTGAGAACTGTCCACTCCTTCATTACAAGCTTTATTTTTGGGAGGGGGGGAGGGGAAGGGAATAGGTTAAACTACCATAACCTTGTCTTTCAAGCCATTTTCTGTAGCCAACCAAAAGCTCTGGGAAGTAGGCTGGAACAGTTGCTCTGAGACTAAGAGGTTAGAGTTAGCGTTACATAAAGTTGCTAACATCCACTTGTCTGAGATGGCTGTCAGACTGTCAAGGTGTAGCAGTAGAACATCTGAAATGGCATTGCAGGTTTCCAGCCTTAGCCTGTTCTGATTTAGGGGGTTTTGTTTCAATAGTGCTGTTCTTTGTACAAATTGCTCCTAAAAGCTTTCTTATTTAAGGGATCTCCCCTCAGTGTACTGTATAACTACAAGCTTTCTTATTCAAGGGATCTCCACTCAGGGTATTGTATAACTACACCAAAATATTAATAGTTGGAATACTCTGTGTGGAAACAGAATATTACTTTAGACATTCTACTCTTGAGGGATTATAGGCCTGTAGAACTACTGGAGCCAGATAAGCTGTATTTAACAGAAACCATCCAAAACATGAGAACAGCACTGGCTCAAAGTGCTACATCTCCAGCGCGGTTAAAGACATGTCAGAGTAACAACTTATCACTGCATTTACACAAACCAGTCCAAAACTCAGAAGTCCTGGCAAGAGCAGTCACACCAGGGAAAGGCTGTTCTCAGTATTGCACAGGAAGCCTGCACCATCTAGCGTCTTCACAGGGAGGGCGAGGTTCTTGCTCTGAACTGGGTCCCCTTCCACTACAAGGAACAGCTTTACAGTGACTGATCAATCCCATTTACTTATGGATTCTGTATTGTTCTAAAGCAATCCTCCAGCACTAACAGGCATGGTATTTTCACAGTAATTACAAAAAACTCTCACGTTTACTGAACTGAAATAGCTTTAAGAAAGGTGCTTGAAGTTTCATCATGTTCCAGTCTTCTTTCCTTGAGTTACCAGATAAGTCATATAACCAGGATTATGATCCTTTCAACTCAAGAGCATGCCAATCACTATGATCATTTGGCCTCAAAACTTATAATCTGCTCCTTACCTTGATTTCACTGATTTTCTCACCTTCAGAAAATGAACAGAGTCAGAGCTTAGTCAGGCAATGTAAAAATTTATTATAAATATTTTTTCAAAACTTAGTGCTTATTCTTACTCAAATTATATTAAAACAAGTTCCTTTACAATGCTGAGTTAGCAAAAAAAAACCAGCAAGGAGCCAGGTAAACCTGACTTTGTTGCCCCTTCTAGCAGTTTGCTCAGTTTGGTCCCAAGATGGCATTCTCCAGGTCAAACCCTCAAAATTAACTGAAAAACCCCAGCTATTCTAACTACTTGAGGTTAAGTTTACAAGCCCTCAGATTTCTAGGAATCAACAATGAAAGGAAATACTTAGTTTAAAATGGTAACAAGCAGAAGATGAACATCCCACTTCGCATAAATCACACATTTACCAGTATAGAAGGCCATGACAGAAGTTCAAGCAGCTCAAGAATTAAAATTACATATTTATTTCCCCAATCACATCCCTGTATCAACATTAAAAACACAAGTTTAGATCTAAGCTTACATAGCTCTGAATTCAATACTGATTCAATTAAAAGAGTTCTGTATTAACATTTTTCTGTCAGTTAACACAACAGTGAAGATGGCATCCACAAGTGTGAAAAACTACCAACAGTTTCAGATAAAAAAGCCCAGTAACTGCACACTTTGATTAACCAAATATTAGTCCTTTACTTTATGAGCCAACAGTACTTGTTTTCCTGAAGAGGATGAGACACCTTCACACTTCCCCCAGCCTTTACCAAGAGGTGTAATAGCAGTGGCTGCTACTGTGGATTTCAGGTTAGCCAACAAACCTTTCCTGGGCTTTTGTTGTTTTGGCTCCTCCTTAGAGAAATGCTTTTTCTGGTCATCAAGTTCTTTTTGCAGGGAAGACACTGTTTCTTCCAGCTCAAGAACACGTTTAGCCCAGTTCTGAAGACTACTCATTTCTTGATCCTATGAGGATAAGGCTGTGTTAGGTATATGAACACTCCAGTGTCTTTTTCATGAGGTTAATTTTCTGTTTCAGATTATTTTATTATGCCAGTAAACACATTTTTTATTACTATTCCAAATAGCTACTTAGTACCCATTTCCTCTGAATTACTTTTATGCAATTTAGAGAAAAAAAACAAACTACAGGGCCATCATATATAGTTAGAGATCAAGTCTAAGAAGCTGGTGATAAAATGCTTGGCCACACTATGCGAAGATTTGCTATTGTTCTAAGAACCAAATAAAGGAGACTTTCCTAGCTTACCCTGCTATTACTGAAAGCAAAACTGGTCAAATCAAAACTCTTATCATAGTCATAAGTCTACCAACCAGATCTGAATAAATGCTTTAAATGGGCAGAACAGAGCCTCAAACATGCTCTTTAATCCTTACAGTTAACAAAAAGTCACCTTCCTATGTCTTAGAACCAACGAAGAAACAAAGTTCAAGATGAATAATTTTCAGCCACAGACTAAAAAACATGCAGAAGGTAATTTAATGTTCAAAAGGAAAACATCACTAAGCAGCCTTATACTTGCCTTGCTTCATTTGTAGACTTACATAGGTGCATAGTGTTAATTCAAAATTTTCATCTTTTTTATTTAGGAATCTAGTTGATATCTGAGGTCAGACACTGTCAGCTTTATGAAGTCCCTACTTTTGAAGGAAAGATTTCTTCTTTTTCAGTATTAAGTAGTTTACCTGCCCATTATCTCTTATCCAGCTCAGCCACCTCTGCAGGTGACTAGCTTTACAGCTTTGAAGCTCTAGTCCTCAGGTCTTGTTGCACAAGCACTTACCCACTGACACCTTGCTTGCCATCAGCAAAACACTTCACAGCTAGAGTTCCAAGTATTTTCTTTGCTTGGCAGTTATTTGTGGCACCTTTAGATTAGCAGGAATTGTTGGCACAGAGTTACCCTATTGTCTGTCTATCGTTTAAGCTGAAAAGCAAGTCTTGTCTTACAAGATACAAAGTCAAGGAGTGAAACACAAGGGCTTTGATCTCATCACTCAGGAAGTTAGGGACAGAAAAAAAATGATAACATCAAAATAAATTACTAAGATGAATGGTATTTTTACACAAAGATGAGAAGCATCAGTACAACTATAGATACAAGTAATATTAAAGTTGCTTTTAAATTGATGACAGACCTTGAGCATGATTGTATGTTTCAGTTGACTGTTCTCTTCTGCCATTTTTCTGTAGTTTGCATTAGCTTCTAGCAGAGTTTCATTTAATTTCTGTATTTTTAACTTCAGGGATTTTATAAGCTGAAAATAAAAGACACGCACTGCAGTTCAAGACTGTGTTATGACTAGAACTCATACATACACTGTAAGAATTTCTGATTAATACATAGCAGTGCAAACTGCAAGATTAAAGCAATGAGGATGAAGTCTGCTTCTCTCAATCTCCTATGTCTCAACCTATCCTTTCTGGTGACAAAATACAGCTGGAGCATTAAAGAGCTATTGTGCTTAAGCTACTGGGTTTACACAGACCTATCAATTAAAGACCAGCAGCACAGACTAACCTATTTCTAGAACAGTCTGCTCCTTTTCAGTAAGGGTAGTTAAAAAGAACACTGTCATCTTATTAAAGCTATTCATATAATGAACTGAAGCACGGTTGTAATAGAAAACATCACCTTTCTGATGGGAATATTGATGGATTAAGTCCTGAGAGGAAAAAGAAACTCTGAACTAGCAAAATTAAAGTTATATCATTAATTTACTTCTCCAAGGTTGGAGGGAAAATATCTATAGGTTGCTAATACAAACCCAAACCATACCCTTTGCTCATGTTTAAAGGCTGAATGGCAAGAAAAAAAGTAGTGAATTACTAATCACATATTCACAGGTACATAAGGCAAAGAAGCAGAAGGGCAATGATTGAACCAACTGTTTTAAAATGCTCTCGCTTCAGTTACTGCCAGGCAGCAAACCCATCATTATAGCACTTTCTAGCCACACAGTCAATACAGTATCCCCATAGCAAGCATAAGAGCCAAACTTTCATCAAAATCCAGAATTGACAAAGGAAATGGAAAAGGATGTGAGCTCTCAAGAACATGAGTGGAAAACAAATGCCAGGGCCATAACACGAGACATTAAACTCTGTAAGGAAAAAGATATTTTTGGAGAAGACTTTCTCAATAGAAAGGGATTTAAGTTCACTTTCCATTTACATGGTTTATTAGAACCAGCTGTAACTATTTCTCCAACTCCAACCCCATTTGTTACTAGTAAAAGGAGCAAGGCTTGCCTCTTCACTCCTCTCCATCCTCTTTAAACACAGGAAACTAACTGTAGCTTTACAAGTTCATTCAAGGTAACAACCAAAAATGAATACCTAAAAAGATTTTTTTTCTCCCCATAACACAGCCTGAAGCTTATAATTTCCACCTCTATACGCTATTCAGAATGCTGAGACCTTACTTGTTTGAGAAACAGAGACGTTACCCTTCAGTTTAAGTGGATAGCAGAGTTCGGTACTTGCAGAAGCTATAGGTTCAAGGCACTATTTTGGCTCTAGATCTAAACTGTTACCACATTCTGTAATTGTTCCCCTGGGCATGAGCAGGCAGCATCTCAGGAGGGAAAGCACTGAGGCCATGACAGCAATGTTTACAACAAATTCCAATGCAAGGCTACGTACTTCCCTAGTTCCAACTCACATCATGTTCACCGTGTAACTTATTACAGTAGTAGATGCCTTTACAGACTAAAACCAGAACACAGCCAATCTCTGGAAAAATAAATCACCTACAATGGGCAAGGACTTTTTTGTAAATTTGATGCCCGTTTGCAAGAATCTTCATGTTTTTGTCTAGAGTGCAGATCTTTAAGCATTGAACCATGCCAGAGTTTAGGACAGTTATGCCTAGATTTGTTAAATACTAAGCAAAGGTACCTCTTCTTTCTCTTGGCATTGTTTCTGCAGTCCTTCATTGGCTCTCTGCATCGTCTTGTTCAGAAGTTCTATAGGCAAAAAGAAAAGTTTCCTTGTTCATACACAGTATAAAAAGTAAATAGAACTTTATATATCCAGATTAGATTCCTACCTAGTTCCATGTTATTTTCAGTAGTTGGTATATCCAAATTCGGACTTCCCAGAGCCAACAGCCTCCCTGACTGTTCGTCAAGTTGCTTTTCCAATTGGAGTATTTTATTCTCTCTATCCTAAAAGAAGGGCACATGGTAGAATTTGTCTAAAGGAGGAAGTTACTTTACACAGGAGTCAACTTTTCCAGTCTGAAGATTTCCAAGTTGTGTTAAGAGTAACCATATGGCAGAAAGGAAGCTTTAGTGCATCTGTGTTAAACACTGTTGCCAGTTAGCTTGCTAGATAGGAAGAACATATTTCATAGAACCAAGCTTCAATCTCAATATCTTTTTCAGTACCTGTTAGATTGCTAGAGTAGTATGTCAAAGTGGGAAATCAAACAAGAGTCACCATCAAGAAAAGTTATTCATCTAATTCTGGCTCTCTGAAGCTGCCCACTCAGATTTTATGTTGTGCTCCAGTTAAAACTTTCACATCTTAGGGATTTCATCACTTTCTTATTTGACTTGCTACCAAGACCTTCTTATTCTCTGGTTCTTTCCTTATGCAGCCTTGCGGTCAGTGTTTAAGGCAGCTATAAGTACAAACAGCACTATTAAGACTCTTTTCTTCCACCCCTACATGACGTATAGCTAGGGCTCAAGCGAAAATAAAACCAGAGTCTGAAGAAAAAAGACAAGTGTGAAGGAGCTGAAAAAACAAAGGCAATTACACAATAGTGTTGCTTGTCAGCACCTGAATAGGGAGCTGTAAAAGCAGAAGTGCTTATACATCACAACCTCCAACAGAAACCCACTTCCCTCATGCCTTGAAAGGAACCTGCTTACTACTGGAGTAAGAGATATTAGTTCCTGAACAGGAAAGTGCAATGAGAAAGCACTTCTGGTGTACACCACAGTTCTATTCTTCCACTACAGACCTTCTGAAAAGACTGAGACCCACAGGTCCCAGTCTGTTGCCTGGATACACTTAGCCATCTAGACAGAGGCTAGAAGTAAAGACTGATGTTGTTGCGCACGGCTAACGTGGCTCACTTGCAAAAGGAACAGCAACTTACCGATGCCAACTCTGACTAGTTCTAGGTATAAGTGCCTTCAAGAGATTAAGTTCAACCCTGCATAAAATTTGATTTCTTATCACGGTTTCTTAACCCACAATCCTCCATGTAGACTTTCAGAGCAGAAATACATTATACTTAAAAAATACCTACCCTGTATTCAGTTCCTCAGTGCCCTTTCAGGCTAACTTTTTACTCTACACCCTACATTCCCAAGGATCTCCACAGAGCCAGACTGCTGTATACACCACCCATCTAGGTGTTCCAATCGTTGCATTAGAGAGATAAAGAGGACTTGGATTTAATTTTGCTGGGTTCTCAAAGACTGGAAAAATTAAGTATACACTACAGGTAGTGTAAGACAGAGGATATCTCTATCCCTATGGTCAGCACTGGACACCAGAACAGCTAAGCCGAACCGCTAGTTATTTTGACTATTCAGTGTTATATTTGAAATTCCTGAATTATTCTGTTAAGGAAAAGCAAAATTTACAGTTAAGAGGCTAGCACACAGTTTTTAGCAGTATATATGAGTATATAGAGAGTATGTCATACCTCAACTTTCTCTTGTTCAGCTAGAAATTCTTCTATGGGAACATACTGGTCTTCAATTTGTTCCATTGCACACATATATGCATGTTTCTTGATGGCCTCTTTATACATTTCAAATTTGCTCTCCAGTTTTTCTTCATAACTGTCTTTCATATCTTCCAAACGGTTGCTAAGGAGAACGTATTAGTTTTATTTAAAACATTAGCATTCTAACTATTACGATTTGATAATGTGTGTTCAACTGGCAATATCAAAGTTATTCATCTACTCATAAATAGTGTGGATACCAAGAAAGTACTTCTCTCCTTTCTATTCTCAATGATCCTACAGACTTGCAGCAAGGCATAACTTCTACATGACATAAACAAAAAAACAACCACCAACATGTTGCGATAGATACAACTACACCCAATTAGGCCCGATATTTGAAGTATATTTCCAGGGCAGTATCCTTTACATTGTTGTTTTGGGATTGAGTTTCTACTTCTTCCCTTAAAGATAAATGCCAAATTCATTTCACCTTATTACTTAAGACAGTACACATTACTCTGCTCTTGTGAGACCTCACTTGGAGTATTGTGTGCAGTTCTGGTGTCCTCAACATAAAAAGGACATGGAACTGTTGGAACAAGTCCAGAGGAGGGCCACAAGGATGATCAGGGACTGGAGCACGTCCCGTATAAAGACAGGCTGAGAAAGTTGGGGCTGTTCAGCCTGGAGAAGAGAAGGCTGCGTGGAGACCTCATAGCAACCTTCCAGCATCTGAAGGGGGCATATAAGGATGCTGGGAGAGACTCTTCATTAAGGACTGTAGTGATAGGACAAGGGGTAATGGGTTAAAACTTAAACAGGGGAAGTTTAGATTGGATATAAGGAAGAAGTTCTTTCCTGTTAGGGTGGTGAGGCACAGGAATGGGTTGCCCAAGGGAGTTGTGAATGCTCCATCCCTGGCAGTATTCAAGGCCAGGTTGGACAGAGCCTTGGGTGTCATGGTTTAGTCTGAGGTGTCCCTGCCCATGGCAGGGGGGTTGGAACTTGATCTTTAGGTCCTTTCCAACCCTAACTATTCTGTGATTCTACTGCCCCAGCAGTGACACAGAACATCACCTCAACAGAGAAAAGTTGTCACTGCTGCTTCATATGTTCAGCCAAAAAAGCACCCAAATAATTTTAAAGTCAGCGCAGGTGTTAAACCACCATGTGTTCAGCTGTCAACTTAACTCGGGGATAGTCTCAGCAATTCAAAGAGCAGGAAACTGATTTCGAGAAGAGTTAAGAGGAAGTGAATTCAGTTTGAGCAACTTGGACACACTTGAAAAAAGTCTCCAAATTGGCAATATCAGTGCACGCAGCCACAGTAATTTACAAGATTGTAAACTAAGAACAGTTCACAAATCATCCAGGAGAGCTTAAAGAGATACAATTTAAAATACCTGAAGCACATGCATGCGTATTAACATGACCAAGTGTAAGTTTTGGAACCATCACAAGCCCCAGTGGGCACCTGTAGCAATTTTCCACATATGCTAATTACTAATAACAAGTCAGAAAATCTCCAGTAATTACAAATTAAACAAAGTTAAGCAGAAGACAGCATTAATTTTCCATTGTACATGGGAAGAGGCTGATCTGTACAAGTTGATCTTCATATTCCTGATTCCCTTTTCATCAGAAGCTTTGAAACTGTCCAGAACTAACTTCCCTAAGTAATGTAAGTAAACATGTCTTGCATATACATATATGTATATACGTACATATGTGTATATAAATGCATGCCTTTATATACTGTAATGTATGTAATCCTTTCAATCTTGAAGGGAACTGCAACATGACTTGCCTCCAAGCTTCCTCTGTTTCCAACAGCTGTCGGAACATTGCTTCTGCCATCTCTCTACGTATCTTCACCTCCAATGAGAGTTTGCTTTGCCTTTCTGCAACTAGCTTCTCCTTTAGGTCCTCTGCAGTTTTCAAGAGATCCTAAATTCAACATATTTCCTTTCAAAAAACAGGCTAGAAACACCCATTTGCAACACATCACATGAAACACATGATATTCGTGTCAAATTAAATACTCGTACACACAGCTATCCACAGAGGGCATTTCTACAAACCGGTATTTTCAGGGGGGCTGCAGAAGAGGTTAAATATAATAGAATAATAAAATAGTTTGGGTTCAAAGAGACCTTCAAAGGTCACCTAGTCCAAACCCCTGAGTTCCTACTGCAAGTACAATCTTTCTCTATCTTGATGGTTTCTGCTATCAAAAAGTTTATTACTCTTTTGGCATTTAAATTTTAATTTGTACAACCATTTAGTATAAAACCTAATTTACCTTTACAGTTCAATATTGTTAGATTGCATAGATTTGTTTTTGAAATGCTGCGTCTTAGCTTGTTCCTGCTGTACCCAAAAGAGTGCAAACAGCTAAAAGCTGTTTTAAATACACATGCTGCTTCCTTACTCTTAGCATTAAGCAGTCAGTTGAATTCCAAATCTAGCACTTGACTTAAGTAGAAAGCCACAGGTAGCCTTCCACAACTACACTTGATCCCTCAGAACTAGAACACTTTAAGATCATGTCTGCCTGACCCCAAGCAGAAGCACATCTCTTATGTTAAAAGCTTCTAATATTATAGCTAATACTGTTGGCTTTCTTGGGCTTTAGTAGATGTGCACCTACCTCGTGACTCAGAATGGTGATGTCCACTTCCTCTTCTGCATAGGTTTCAGTACTGTCAGGAAAGTCATCTACAGATGTACCAGCATCAAACTGCATAATAGGTTTGCCACAACCTCCAACAAGCTTGGGTGAAAAACCATCTAAACCTTTTGGTAGGATTGTCTGGATTACCTGAAAGAGCCAGAATTGAAAGCACTGATCTATCAATGTTGTCAATATTGCAGATATCAGAATACTAGGAAGAAGTGTCATGAAGGTATTGTTGTATTTAAGCGATATTTAATGATTACAAGAATATTAGCATAATTTTTCATGTCGCTTACCAGACAAAGATCTATATCAAAATAAGACTTCAATACTCTAACAAATACAAGTATGCTTGTCTAGAGACGTGTTCTCTCCTTCTAAAATACAAGGTCTTTGTGTAGTCTCCTGGGAAGTTAATGAAAAGCAGCAAATCCCCAACACACTTGTTCCTTCCTGAAATACTGCAACTAGGATTCAGCAGTTCATGCTGGTTAAAGATTTTGTGTCATAGGACACACATCAGAGAAGCTTGTCTCTTCACTGCACACTTATCTTATGAAAGTTGCAGCTGAAAAGAATTAGAGAATTTTTTTCTCTCCAAGATCACATTAAACATGTCATTACAGACTTGGAAAGTGTCAGAACTCATCCATGGTTCCAGACTAGAAAAAGACTATTTCTGCCAAAAAATGCAACATAGCCCACCTTCCCACTCCCTACAAGAAGCAGCTCCTACTTCTTTTACTGCCACCACAAGCTATCCAAGAAGTTTTGAGCAATTGCCACCTCATGCAACAGAAGCTTAAAAAAGCACAGGTTAAACAATTCATCAAAACCTTGAATCATCATCTTGCATTTGCTCATATATAGTTTACCCAGACATATCTGAAAGCACCTGGACTATTTTTTCACAGTGTTGGTGTATAGAACTGAACAAGCCAGAGAGCTGTAGCTATCTTTACTTATTACCACAAGAAGGTGGTAAGGACTGGCAAGACTATCAGAAGCCTTTTAGAGAGAAGCCACAGGCAGAAGAATTAGTATGATGCATCAAAAGTCCAAATCACACTCGGGTCCATACAACCTGGTAATTTCACAAACCAAGGGTAACAAAGAATGGAGATTAGCAGAAAGAGTAGATGAACTCTTACCTGTTTGGCTATAGCTGCAAATTTCATTACATGTAGTGTTTCATCATATGTGGAGGCATGCTGATTAATGTTTACAATCATACAAGCTGTGCCTTTTCCACAGAAGAATGGCTGAAACAGACGAGTCAACTTGCTCTCTCTGAATGGAATATAGCTTGGCTTCATCCTTAGGGGGAGAAGAGTAATAGAAGTGTGAAACAAAAAAATTGCAAAGTTACATGAAACTGTAACTAAGCTTAATTCTTGTTGTCAGGAAATAGATCCAGTAGGATGCTCATATTTAAGCCTTAGCTATTTCATACCAAAGAGCAAGGTCTTTCCTGGATCTCGTAAGGTCTCCAACAAATTAAACTATTTAAAAGTAAAAAAGTAGTATAGTGTCTGCGCCACAGTTCCCTAGTGTTACAAAGCAGATATTGGAAAAGCCAAAAGCTAAGTACAGGACATGTCAGCTGTCTGACAAATTTATGTGTATAATTTGGAGGCGGAAGAGAACAAAACAGGAGCTTTGTTTTGCTCATACACACACTAAAAAATCTTGGTAGCTTACTGCTAATTGCCCTTTTTTATCCTCCGCAGTTTCAGCCTAAAACTTAGCATGTTGTTTACAACTTATTACTTACTTTGGATTTTGATTTTGCTTCAGTGCTGCAATGCATTTTCCAAGGATATGAAGAGAATTGTTAATATTTCCTGCTTCTTTTAGTCTGTCTCCAAAGGTGTGTGTTTTATTACACCTCTCTGACCCAGCCAAGTCACAGAAAGACAACCTGCATGAAAGAATTATCCAGAGCATGCATATAAACTTGGTTTTTAAACAGTATGAGAACAGAACTGCACGTCTTTAATTCTTTATGTGTCTAAAGTGTAAATGAGCGACTCATTTCAGCCTACCTAGATCACAGAATAAGTTGTACTTTAATGCTGATGTTTTGTCCAGGAGGCACTATGCAAGGTATGCAAGGCACTATGCTTTATTTAGGGTAACAGCACTAACCTATCTTACCTTCCCATTGTATATGAAGATACTTGAACAAGACTGCTTCTCCTAAGACAGTCTATTCAGCATATCCAAATAACTCTGCTGGTAGCATTCATCTAAAACTTTGTAGACATTCTTACATGAAGAATTCAGTTCAGTAACCTAAATTTTGTTGCAATCCTAAAGTACTTCCAGGTGAGATAAGAGGAATTTCTGAGACAGTTTTGCACAGTGGGACAAAGGCTAAGAAACATTTTGCAGTCACTTTCACCAGTTGCAGCACTGAGAAGATTGCAGTACAGTATGCAGGATATATTGAGATCTGCCTCTTCTGGTTACAGAATTATTTGTTCACTATTCCAAGTAAGAAGACAGAAGTCCTCCTGAGATTACCTTAGAGGTCTTTGTTTCCCTCTAGCAATTATGCGCTACTGAACTCAGGCCACTGAACTGCCCCTAATGGTACAATAGGTTACAATGAGAGGCAACTATCCCGCATAATCAAGGAATTTCATCATTTTCACTTCATATTAAGAAAGCCCTTGAAATACCCTGCAGTTAGATAATTCACATAATCAAACTGTTACTCACTTAATACAAATTTATTTACACAAAACCTTTGTAAGATTAGAGCCTTTCACACAGCTGAAATAAGTACATACTAATACTATACACACTATTAAGGTGAAAGGCTATAAATAGTGTGGTATCACATAGTACTAACTCTGTCCCCACCTTCTCATTATGTTAGACAATATATGTATATTTCCCTCAATTTTTGTACTACTGAGAGTTTTAACAGGCTCTTTCAGCCAAACCTTAACAGAGTAAGAGACAGGGAAACACTTTCACACCTGTCCCTATCCGATTTCCAGGCAGTTTTATGCAGCCAGTGGAATTCCAATTTCCTTCTCAGCTCTGGGAGTAGTTGTTTATTAAAAGAAAGTTCACCAGTTTAGAACACTTAAACCTTACCAACTTTTCTGAAGTATTTACATTCTGGTAATCAGCTGAAGCATTCACTTACTCTGAAACTCCAAGAACACGCGGCTGATGCTCATCAGTTAGCTTTAGTAGCCTGATTGAAAATATACTGTGACTGGAATGAAAAGAAGTTCTTTTTAATAAGCACAATTATGAAAATTAAGCAGTCACTGAAGCAAAGTAAAATTTTATGCTACAGAAAGCTCAGTGCTGAAGAAAGAACAAGAATTTACTGATTTACATTAGTTATCTTTGCAATGCATTCATTCAGCAGCAAAAAGCAGCAATAAAAGTTGTATTTGACTTTCCATTTCTTTTAATACAGGAAGGGAAAAATGTTACATGAAACCTACGAACTGTCTTGGACAATAAACAAGCTGATCAGAGGATGAGTGCTCAGGTGGCCACTTCATATGAAAACTTCAGGCAGTATCTGAACTCAGTAGATCTGAAGAACTGATTAGGAATAGGTACTGAGGAAGAAAATAAGTTAAGGTTGGACAGCCCTGTAATTTTTCCTACAGTTATTTGTTCAGTTTTGAAATCATTCTGTTTTCTAGAAAGGTTGAATTTTTAACCTTTGAAAATCCAGGTATTCTGTTCTAGACATCAAGCTACAAAGAAGAACCAGAAGTGCCTTGTCCTCAGTTTACCCAGCAAATCAGGAAGCACAGAAGACAAACTTCTGCAGTATATATTTAAAGCAGTGCTTCACTCCTAGAACCAACCCACAGCTTAAGAACTGGAGTTTCTTAAAACAAATAATCCACCCCAACTTATAAACAAACTAAGTGGAAGTCAGCATATTCTCTGGAGCAAAAAAGAGGACATTCTGGGTACAAAACTCTGCCAAAAAAAAAAAAAAGCATGCAGTTCTTTTCTGCGCTACTGTAAGAGTGAAATTCAGGTAAAATCATAGCATGAAATTCAATGGCAGTTGTCTTTAGCTAACACAGAACAATACAACTTATTGCTTTTTATAGAAAAAGTAGGCTTAGTAACACTGTGATTATATTACATAAATACACAACATGGCCCTTTCACACTTAAAGAACAAATAAAGAAGAGGACATTAAAATCAAGTAAAAAAGCATTTTCAACAGAAAGTATACCACCTTCTCTATTTCCTCCTGCTCCATCAAGCCAGATTCTCCCTGAGCCCTCTCCAGAGCTGGGAAAAAGCTAGGACCTTATTTCTTAATATACCAAGTAAGGTCAGCTAGAACACAGCAAGCATCTAGGTAATCTAACAGCACTGCAAGGTACTGCACCAACTCCTTCCTACATCCCTCTACCTACAGGCTCCAAGTTTCCAGGAATTGTATTGCCATTGATGAAGAGCTAACCATCTTTTCCTTCAACATCCTTTCACAGCCATTCCCACTCAGCATCATTAGCATTTACCAAGATGTATAGCTCTATTGGCACTCAAAAATGAATGTGATTTGTTCTTTTGGGCTACCCAAAGGCTTGAATAGCAACCCAAGTCCAGCTACTATTAAAGTTTCTTCCAGAAAGAATTTCATAATAAACCCAGAATAATCAAGGAAAGTCTTAAACTACTATTGAAGAGTGGTTAATTTGAAACATATTCTAGAGTTTTCTCCTCCCTTCCCCCCTTCTTTCTCCCCTTAAAAGGAACAGAGTATGCTCACAATTAGAGAAACTAACCTCCTACTTGATTGCTCATTCATTCTAGTACAAGCAAAGCTTCGGTTCTTGTTTCCTATTTTTAGTATTTTGCAGGCTTCTTCAGTGCTCTGAATGTTAATCCACTTTAAGTCTGTGAAAAGAGACCATTTACATATATTTCTGATGAGCAAAGATATTCTGTGAAACTGCTAAGGTTATAAAACAGTATTACCTTTAATATAAGAATTTCCTGCTTGATCCTCACAAATTCTTAAGACTCTGCGCTTCTGAGTTTTTGATGTAGATAATACATTTAATAGATCATACACATATTCGTTATAAATTTCACAGAAGGAAATCCACACAGATGCTTGTGTCTTTTGGTGTATATTACTCCTGTACTTATCAAGTGGAACAAAGTTCTTCTCTGCTAACCCAAAACAAAGGAAAAGTTCAATGATTAAACAACATATTGATAAATTTTATAGTATACAGAACCTTCTAAAGAAGGAGGCTTGTATATGTGTTGTACAATTAGATATACAGTACTGCATAATTTTGAGTTTACTCAAGAACGTTCACATTTCTCAGCAGTCACCTGTACCGAGGATATGCCCAAATTCTAAGCTATTGCCTCCCCAATATGTTTCCAGAAGTTTATACATTCACTTTGCAGAACTAAGCTTCTCTCTTCGCCCAAAAGGAAAAAAGGTATCAGAATATTTTCACATATTTACTCTTCCTCCAGAGTAGAGCCATTAAAATTTTGTTCAACGACTATACTACAAAGTAAACATACGATACAGAGATATTTTTTTTAATCCACCAACAGTTACCCATGTATATTCCTAAATTTTTATAGTCCCCTTCACCTCAAATTTTTCCACTGTATTTTACCTAGTGAATCAGAAGGAAGACTTTTTGAGGTACAGTTGGAAGAATTCGACTCCACATCACACGTATCTGTTATAGTATTTGAGCTGCCTTCTGTGTCCTTGAGAAAATAAGACCATTACACCCATATGAACAGACTGAGAACAGCAGAAGTTAAAAATGACAGCAATTCCAGTATTTAAATATCAAAACAGTATGAAGTGTTAAGCCACCCTTACTCTGACTGCAGATGAAGTGTTTTGAATAATATTGAACTAAATCAATAAATGCTCTTTCCCTCACAAGAACAATCGCTCTCCAATATCCCAGCAACCTGTTTTGGAGGCTAACTGCTGCTAACATAGGAGACTTACTTCCTAGTTGTGGAGAAACAAGCTCCTCTGTCAGGCTGCGACAGCCCGGAATGTCTTTATGAACTACTGGGCAAAGCTGAACAGTACTTCAGTCAATCAAGAGAACCGAAGAAGTAAATTTCTCTCAGGGGCAGATGGCAGGGTAGTGAGCAACAGACAGAATAAAGCAGCAGAGAGTCTTAATTTGCCTGCTTGTTACAAATTGCTTTTGCAAATCACAGGCCTGTGCCAGGTCTGTGAGAGTATGAGTCAAGCTTACTTTAAAACCTCAGAAAAAGTGAAACAACTTCATAAAGACCTTAAAGATCTGATAAAGCAACAGCCTAAGTGGGTTTAATTAATACTGAATTACTGAAGGGCCACTAAATGTCCTATATAGAAAATAGCACAATCTCTTTAAGTACACACATTTGTTGAATTTCTTTACATCAACAAAATTATTTAAAAACCTGCCAAGGCTTGTCAAAGCACAGGCTTCACATTACCCATAGGAAAACCGGTGTAACAAAGCAACTCCCACTATTTAGATATTCCAACATATCCACATACTACCTCCCTCCCCATTTTTACAAACCAATGCAAATTTTCATCAGGACATTCACCCCAATTTCCCAAACCCCAGTCTTGATAGAGCATCACCCTAGCTACAGTAGAAGAGGGGAACAGATTCAAAGAAGTAAACCTTAATGTTCTAGCTATTTTAATGCAGTGCTAAGTTCATTATGGACTGACTACTGCTGCCTGTGTTACCCACTTGGTATATCCAAAATGGAACTTTTTAGAAAATTATGAAGCTGTACTTTCAGGTCTTTCATTTTAAACATAAATAGTGCATGATTTCATTGTCATTTATAAGTGGCCATGTTTCTAGAGTAGTTATAAGTATAACCACAAACGTTGATTCTATTAATTCTGTTTCTGAAGTACAAAGCCAAGTTCTAAAGCAGGGTATGGGACTGACACACATGGCATATCTATGCATGTCAAAAACAGAATGTAAAACACCCAGTGCCACGGTACTTGTGCCTGTGATAAATTTTTGTAAAGGTGTTTCAACAAAACTGAGTTAGCTATGCTGCTATGCTGTTCTTCAAATCATAAGATCAAATACAGAAAAGAGTATGAAGATGACTGCCTGAAAACAAGTGGGAACAGGAACTGACATTGTTTGCCAGTGACAGAAGCTGACATTTAATATCAAATACAAGGACAGGTGGGAATAGGAATGCAAGTAAAGCAGCATATAATCCAGGAAAAAACGGTATTTAATCCCATGAATAGAACAAGTAAAGGGAAGGAAAGAGAGGGTGTGAACCACAAGAAGCAAGAGTTTTCGCATCAGTAGCGTAGAGATAACAAGCAGTAGAACATTAAATACAAGGGTATTGCAGTAACTCAGAGCCGTTTAAATTGAGAGAATGAAAGGAATAGCAAATTCTTTCTGCATGACATGTAAACTGAGCCTGGGTAAAGGGCCTACAGAAGTCCATGTAAACCAAAACCAAGCCCACCAAACCATATCTGCTCTCAAATTACAAGCTTCAGTGAGCATCTGAACAGTGATACTATTCATTCCTAAGCTATCAAGCAGCATGGGGATAGCTGAGCTATCACTGTGGAAGCATTGTAATACATAAGGTCTTGTCATGTATTATTTTCTAAATGTATTTTTACCTTTCCTTCCTGATGGTGGTCTTGCTTTTCACTGCAATGCATCAGCATCTAGATCACTTACTGCAACATTCAGTAACTAAACTATTAGTGAAATCAGACTGTGATTTAACAAAAAGGAATATTTGTAAAATAGAGTTATCATCAAAAGACATTTGACTTCCCTTTCTAGACCTCAAAGTCCTGCTTCTTCCTTCTTGCAAGCTTATAAATTTCATAAAATTATTTTTTAATATTTACCTACTACCCTTCTGACCATCTCAATTTATGTTAAAGACCCTCACATCCCTGCGCATGCACGTAGACACACAGTGCAAGTGAGCTCTTCAGAAACTCTCAGATACGTAATCTTTAGCATCTTTGAGATTCTTCAACTGAGATCTTTCCTCAAAAGTTAACCAGACTTAGACTAAACAAAGTTTGGTTTGCAGAATTTATATCAAGCAATAGAATTTAGAGTCAAACTTTACATATGAATTTGATTCACAGAAGGATATTCTTTCAGAGCTAACTGCATTACTTTAACTGCGTTGGTATTAAAGACCACAAAAAAGAAAACTTAGTCAATCACTACTTCTATACTTCCCAGAATTTATTCAGAGTTGCTTGAAATGAAAATCAGCTGATCCTACTGCATTTTGGAATTAAATGCACAGAACTACATTTCAGATTAAAATGTTATGAAAAACAAACAACTTGTGACAACTTGCAAGTGGGCTTAGAAATATAGAACAGTCACACCATAAAGCTGCCCATTTTCTAGCGAGACCTATTTCTTACACTGGAAGCAGAAATGACTAGATAATGAGAACAGGAGGCTGGAATAGTGGACTCCTCTATTGTACTCACAGTTTTCAGAGACCAGAGTTAAAGATATATACACTCTTCTAAAGCAGGCTGTATTCCTTCTGAGAAATTTGTTTTGTGCAATCTCACTTCACTTGCTGTATCAGAAAAGTTCCTTTATGAAGTTACATAAATCACATGTTTACAAACTTTTTAATCTGCTTTAAGGCTGTCTTCAACCAAAACAGACACTTCTGCCTTCTTCACTAATCCTACTAAGATTTTGCCATCATCTGTCCTAAAATAGTACTGGCATTTGAACAACTGCCCTGGAATCCAGCCTGAGAACCTGGCCCAAAAGAAGATTAGCTTAAGTGGATTTTAGATTGGTCAGCTCTCAGACTTTTCAAAGGCTAGTGCCACCACAGTGTCAGAACTGCTCCTCTATAGAAATCCAGGCTTTGGCTTTGCAATGTTTTTTTGTTTGAGCTGTGTGCTGGCTGCTGCAGAAAGTTCTTCCAGTTTACCCTGAGCTCCAAAACCAGACAGTTGCCTTATTCCAAGGTTCACCAAGTATCCATACAGTAGAGTTAGATTCTTTAGTTACCCAAAGAATCAATAGGGAAACAGAGATTTTAAAGATAATCTGTTAGACAGGAAGTTTTTAAGAGGCTTTATTAACAAGGAAGTATTTGATCACTGACCTCTTTCAGTGATGCAAGAACAGCCATTTTCATAGCTTCTTCTTGTTTAACTTGTGCATCTTCTAGTTTCTTAACATCATTACTCAAATACGGCTTGAAGTTCATCTTCAGATAATGTCTTCCCCTGATGTGGTTAAAAACCACATCAAGTGAGCGAGGTAAAATGCCAAAATCCTTTGAAGTCCCTTAAAAATAACACAAGATAAAATGTAGATGTTCATATAAACTTCTCATTGGATTTTCACTTGGTTGTCATACATGCTTTTTGGCAAATATGTTATACCTTGGATAGTGAATGTCTTGCCTGCATTTGTAACCCCATAAGTAAACACCAGTCCATTCACTCCATTAACATATGCTCTTACTATCTCTTTCATTGAGCCTTCGAAAAATTCACTCTGAGTAGTTTCTGGTCCAAAGACCTTGGGGAAGGGGAAAAAAAACAAAAAACAAACAAACAAAAAGATAAAAAAGTGATAAATGGCACAAAGTAGTTTAATATATCAAAATATTAAGCACTGATTAGTTGTGACTACTTTTTCAGAGCAAGCTGAGGAGGCAATACCAGCTTCATTTACTGTCTTGCCTGAACCCTGGCTGATTCAACATCTTCTGTTGGGTTTTCATAAGGTGCCTGTTTAATTCTGAGAGGCACTCAAGCTTGACCTTATTTTTGAATATTTTCCTACTCCTAAACCAAACTGCTCAGTGCTACTGAGCACATACTGTTCAGTGGGTACTTTCAAGAGCTCAGCTGGTGATGCACAGCTCCCCTCCTCACTCTGCACCAGTCACCCACCATTGATACAAGCATTACAGTGTTCTGAATGACTCAATGGCCTGGAGCTGTATTTTGATACTCCAAGAACAGAGTTTCTTGCAGTAGGTAATAGAGTTAAGAATTTTACTTCCAGCATAGGACATTCCAGCAGTTAGGCTGCTATTATCTCAAAAATAAGTTCCTAAACACAAGTCCCTCTAAACATGTGATTTCCTGTGACACTCCCAGATAAGGGCATCTTGAGGAACAGCAGAACCACACTGAGTTTGTGCCTACAAGAAGTTTCTGTAGCATCTAATCAAAGAGAGCAACAGAGCTACCAAAGAACCTTCCTTATCTAATAGGCATCTCCGTTGTAATATAGCTTTCTTGACAACCTAACAGTAGGTAATAAGCAGTTGGGGGGGGGGGGAAGAGGGGGTGGTTAAGGAAAAAACCACCACACGTAATTCCAAGGAGAAAAATCATATTGCATGGTATAGTAGAAAAATCAGTTATCATCATTGTGAAAAAATAAACTGTAACTGAAAATTAGAATAAAGTTTGTCTACCTGAGAAAATGTGAACTTGTGCACAGAGCGACCAATTCCTTTTTCACTGTTTTTCACTGCAGAAGACTCTTTGGGTGCATTAAGAATTACTGTCTGGTGATCTTCAATAGTTAGACAACACTTAAAAGACAAGACAAGGTAAACCAAAACACCACACAAAATTATTTAGGAAGACAGAAATCTGAAAAAAACAACCCAAGAAGAACAAACAAACCAACCTCAGAAGGTTAGAGTTTTCGTCTATTTCCCAGAGCTACATAGAATTGCAAAATTTACATATAACGTCTCTTGAAGTATGCAACAGCTATAGAGATACCCACTTCACATGAAAGACAGTGTATACAAAGTTAAGGCAGTTGTCTGGAGTTTTCTGTAAGGTACAAATTTTGTGATTTATATTGTGTGGCTTGCACAATCCTAGCTGTGAAAACTGTGAAAAAATCTACTGTCTTTCCACTTCAATCATTTTCAGTGTAAAACAAACTATGACCAGCATAAATAAAATTAAGTTTGAAGCATTATCCTTTGATTGATAGATGGCATTATCAGTAATGAAGGAAACAGTTTCACGTATAGGTGAGGTGCAATTACCTACCACTCAACTCAATAAATGCAGAATGCTGTGTCACAGAAAAAATTATTTCACACCAGACAGGGTACTAAAACTACAAACTGAACTACCCATGTAGTAGAATGGTGTCTTGAAGCATCAGCTGCAAGGATTGATTGTAACTAAATCTAACATTTGTATTTAGAGGCTGGCCAGAGCTGGTAAAATGAATCATCCATGTGTGGCATGTACACAGGAGGTACTGCTCTTAGAGTCTCAATTAACAAGTCTGATTATCAACTGGTATAGAAGCTCCAAGAAGCTGGGTACTGAATTTAGACCAATCAATTGCTCACTATGCCAGGATCTAAACTTGTGTGCTTTTTAACATTCATCCCACATTGCAAGAAACAGGAATGCAGGTCAGACATACTAAATCCTAGAGGGCTACAGAAGAATCCAACATGCGCAGCATGTGCCAGCAGCTTTATAGAAGCTCATGAACAGTTAAGGTCTGCAGGGCTGGAATCCAGCTGGTAACACATCACTCTTGTTGTCCCAGCCAACCCCACAAATAAGCTGGCAGGAGTTAGGCTATTTCTGACAAGGTACACATTGTTAATGTCCAAAGAACACAACTTCCTGCTCTCCAGCAGGTGACTCGCAAGAGTCACTGACAGTTGTATCAAGAGTACAGAATTTCATCCAGGTAAATTTCCCACTCCAAAAGGGAATAACAACTCAATTTCATTTTGTAAATCAATTTACCCTTACAGCCAGCTCAGATTGATGAATGATACCAAACTGTGACAGTGTGTAGAAAGGAGTGTTCTGTGTGTTTGCATGTGTACATGTACTTATGCAAAACACTGAAGCATCTGAATCTGACAGTATAAACTGCAGATGTTATAGAAAAAAAATTCACAGGATGAGCAATAAGTCACCAAGATGAGACAGTTCAAGCACTCCAAAGAAACCCAAGGGTCATGTTCCTGAACTACTCCTAGAACTGCATCATTTAAGTAAAGTACCTGGTGGAATTTTGCAGAGCTACAGGCAGGCACGTCTGTACCATGTGATAAAAACATTACATTTACCCAGGTGCCCACTAATTCTATTTGGAAGCAGTACACAACTTTTATAAAAATAAGTCCCAACTTACAATACTAGGTGCTCTCTGGGGGAAAAGAAAAACTCATTTCTTAATTCTACAACTAACCTGAGGTTCAGGGTTTTCAAGCTCCGCTACAGAAAAAGGCCTCACTCTCAAGAAGACTTTCAAAGGCTGATATGCCTATTCATAAGAAAAAACAGAAACAAATCCAACACACAGACAAAACAATCCACAGTCATAATGGCCACTTTCTAAATAGAACACCCCCAAGTCATATCAGCATACATCTCAAACACACTATTTCCTTTTTTATCTCACTGTCTCACCACTTCCTAATGCCCTTAAGTAGCCTTTTCTTACCTCCCCCTCCCCTTCCCACTAAAAAGTGTTCTTTCAGAACAAAGCCAATATCTTGATTTTAAAAGAGCACACTGACAGGGACATAAATTGCACTGCTTCCACCTTCTGGTGTTACTCTGTATTGAATTTAAGGTGGATTTTCTAATAGCTGCTTTATAGTATTTCACTTCCACTGTGTATGGAGCATGTTAACAGATTGGTATATTCTTAGTCTCCATAGACAACTTCGTTACTGCTACCTAGGCACAAGCCGTTCATCTTCCTCACAGTAACAACCATGAAACAGCTCTCAGTTGCTAAGGTGGGCTTTTCCATCCTGCACCATTATACAAAGGTCTCCCCATCCAGGTAAAGCAATAACAGCTGAGAGATTTTTAGAGGGATCCCAGCATTACTTCTTTTCTCATACAGCTTCAAAGTCCCTAGTTTGGCAACTTGTTTATTCAGCAGATGGCTCAACCAGAGTTCTCTCCGTCCCTCCCACAAGCAGCACTCTACTAATCATACAAAATTAAGTCACCTGAAATAAGTAAGCCAATCAGGAAACCTACAAGTCTATAAAGGCAGGGATGCAATACAATCTGCAGAAGTGCACTGCAGCACAGCACTACAGAGCTGTATTTCCAATCACCTAGCAAGCTTTCAATAAGGATCTATATGCTTGCTTAGATTACTAAAAGGAATGATACAATCACATTACATTCAAAGTGCAGTTACTGAAGTCCTTTACTTCCTTCTCAAAAGCTTAGACATTGCTATGACACATCATGTAGCATTGATCATCAGCATTCGCTAATGGCTATGATCTATTTGTAGCAATGAGAAGCAAGCAGAAGAATCAAACACATCCTGGGGACAGGTGAATACAGCAGTTATCACCAAAGAAGTATTTGCCTTAATTAGAGCTTAAAAACTGCATAATCAGAAGACCTACTACAAAACCAACCCACACCTGCCGTTCCTCTGTATTAGGCAATACAGTTGACTCCATAGGTGAAGGATTACCCAATACACTGAGAAAAGAAACTGATTCCATTGTATCAGGTGCTTCTGCAGAAATACAGCTTTTCCCTCCATCATCCATTTTCTGTGCAAAGGAACTTGAAAAAAAGACAGACCAAGACAAACATCATTTTCTTACAGAACAGGCAAAAACACTTAGGGAGCAAAGCAGAGATCAAGGGGGCTTGCATATGAACAAGCGCTTCTGAAGAAAGTAAGTTTGGGTGTACGGAGGAACCTTAAAAATCGGCTGACAGCAGACAGCAAAACACACAAGTGAAAGCATGCTGACAGCCTCGGGTGGGCATCACTCTCATCCACCGGCAAGGGCTGCGCCACAGCCCATAGCCCTCACCCCTGAACGGCTGAACACCACCAAGGCGTCAGGGACTCAGCCCCGGGCCACCGTGCCCTGCCTGAATGAGCCACACAGGCTCAGACCAGCAGCAGTTTACGCACGGAAAAGGCACAAACAAAGGGGACGGGTCCGGACCGGGCACCCCCGCGGGAACCGCCCCACCGGCGCAATGGGAGCGGTACCCGGCCTGGGCCCAGCGCCCAACCGAGCGCCCGGCAGCCACAACCACTACCTTGCCGCGCGCGGGAAACAGCGACCGACGGCGGCGAGAGCATTTGAGCGTCTGAAGGCGGGCGCTGATTGGCCGAACGGGAGGGGGCGGGGTGGAGCGACGGTGACGGACACGGCCGGGCAGGCACAAAACGCTTCCTCAAAATGCCCGGCAGGGGGCGCCGTCGCACAGCGCAAGGCAGCCGCCGAGCCGCCAGCACCGGTGTGGGCGGGCGGGGGGGGTAAGGGGGGACGTGGACGGGACGGGACACGGGCCCTGCAAGGTGCGCTGCCGGCACAGGGTTGATATATACGTTTATATGAAGGTACGGGGGTGAAAAAACGAAACCAGAAAACAAAGGGGTTTGGACGAAGGAAGGCAGCGTCAGCAGCAGCATCTTCACATCCAGAGGAGCACCGTCTCGCCTGAGTGTGTGCCGTGGGGGAAGACACTGATACATAAATTTCCATCAAAATAGTTATATAAAGTTATTATGGGCATTACGGAACCGCTTCCACACCACCCGGTATTATTGTGAGCTTAAGCACAAAACAAATTGCAAAACGCTCAGGTTGCACGAAGGTAGAACTGGGGCAGCTCAAGGAAAGGGCTTACTACGGTGGTGGGGAAGGCCTTATCACCTCAACCAGCAAATGGCCTGCTGCTCCAGTAGAGTGCAGTCTTCATGTATGAGCCTATAGTGCGGGTAGGGAGTTTTATTTCTGCATAGCACAAGACCCAGACACAAAGGTAAAGCTGAATGTCTCTACGAGCAATATGGAGGCAGATGAAAAGATACTCAAAACGCTGAAGAAAACTTGTTTTTTAAAGACCCACAGCTGCTCATAGAACATAGAAGGGACTTCAGGTCTTTAGCTATGTTTAAGGAACACTGTGTAAGTTGTAACCACAGCCAACTATAAGCAAATAAAACCCTATTTCATAGCAATAGGTTTTCATCAAAAGGAAAGACCAAAGACAGAAGGGTATTAAAACCAGCCTGCCCTCCTCAGATCCCTCCAAGTGCTTTCAGTCAGACAGCCACTAGGTTAAGCAGAGGGAAAACTACTAGGGTGAAAGTCAATAGCTTACACAGAAAAGTCAGCCAGCCTCAGCTAGCAACACTTATAGTCTGTTACTTGTTTGCCAGCTTATCTCCTTAATCTGCCTGGTGTCACATAGTCAGGTTCTTCCCACGCTTTTCAGAGCACTCCATAAAAATACAAGTTTAAAACTAAGCATAGAAGCATTTGTCAGGCAGGTCACAGTTATACTAAGAGGAACTGGCCTTCAGGGACACACAGGTTTTTTCTCTGCTTAGAGAAAATTATGTCCAAGTTTCATCTTCCTGATGTTTCCAACTGGTATACTCTTCCTTAAATATCATATGATCGTCTCACACAGCATTTTATGAGCTGTTGTTGTTCTTCATGAAAATCATCATGAGGCTACCCAGGACTCTTGGCACGCACATGAAAACAAACAGTGATGAAAATTTGTAAATCAACTTTATTCAGCGATGACCATCATTTAGGCATCAGCAATAGTAACTTCAACTTCTACACCTGGCTCGATGCTGATGGAGGTGATCTGTTTCACAATTTCAGACGGGCTGTGTAAGTCAATGAGCCGCTTATGGATACGCATCTGGAAACGATCCCAGGTCTTGGAACCTTCACCACAAGGTGTCTTCCTGGTAGTGATTCGCAGAGTCTGAGGAAGAATCGTAAATACAGGGTGCTGAGTTGATGCATACAGAAGACTAATCTACAATCAAATCAATCTACCTGATAACGCTATCTGACATCAGTGTCATTGTAAAGTTACTTATGTTCTACTCATGTTAACACTCCTTCCCTATCAATTTCATTAAAAAAAACACCCCCAATCTTGATTAAAATAAACTGAAGAACAGAAAAGCCCCTTCCATATTCAACATGTTCTGCACTAAGCAGTTGCTCCAAGTGTCAAACTAATTTGTGAAGTCACTACCTGTTTACATGGGGTCACTCTCAATTTTTAGATGTTTTATGTGCATACTTGCAGAAAACCCCCAAAATTTTAAGACAGGAAAACAATGTCAGGTACCTTGGTGGGCATGCGAACAGGTCCTTTCACCTTCAGGTTCTTTTCCTTAGCACCTCTGATCAAGTCAGCACAGACTGGGAAAAAAAAAACAACAAAATAGCTCAGGTGTGTATATTTTCCCCCTTTTTAAGTGAAGATTCCAAAGATGGTGGCTCAGAATAGCGTATGAAGTGATCACTGGCATTCATTTGAAGGGTCATCCTCATAGCCAACCACATACAAGTGGAAGAGTTACACCATGGTAAAGCATAGTCACATTACAACAGCAGGCAAAAGCCACTATCACAAGTTTAAGCTGTATTTAAGCTATTACCAGCCTGAAGATCCTGCACGAAACAGTCACTGTACAACACATTACATGATTAAAACACTGGCAAAGCCAGATCTTAAACAAGATTAAATAATTTCTTAAAGAATACTTAACTGCTAAACTAAACTCTCCTCAACAAGAGTGACAAAATGCCAGTCAACAAACTGATACCTTTCAGTTCTAATAAATTCAAACAGTGACAACTGAAACCCCCACAAGAAATAAAAGGAAGAAGCTGCACTGTTATATTAGTCATTGTGACATTTAGTTTTCAGCACTATAAAACCCCCCAAACACTAGCTTCTGCTGAAAATTAAATGAGAATCTCCTCACCACTGTATGAAGCACTCCGGGTTCACTTTGTGAGCCAAATCACCTACAAGCAGGCAAATACCAGCATCTCTAAAGACAGCTGGTGTGAATACATTCTGTTTTGTAACACATCGTATCATACCCTGCCGATGGCAGAGGAGTTAGAACTAGATGATCTTACAGTCCTTTCCAACCCAAACCATTCTATGATTCTATACATATCACTCACTGCTTAACAAACTACCCCAATTAAAAAACAAAACTATCACTCACCCTTCTCAAGTGATTTTACATTGCGACTTGTCAAAGTAATCCTAATGCGATGAATCGCTACCTCTTGTTCCACAGGTGCTTTGCCAGTATCTTTAAACGCCTGAAACATTGAAGTGACAAACATCAGACATTACAGTCAATGCAAACAACACTACCTGCAGCCTCTTAAAAACAGACTTTTGGAGCGCATAGAACAATGTAGCACTGGGACTATTTCACTAACTAGACGGCATATCTGAGGAGCACGGCAGCATGCAAGAAACAGTGGGAAGAGAAAGGAAGAGCCAAGTCCTAACTGCTCTGAGGAAAACCAGTGGTTTTAGTGTCTAACTGCATCTCACAGTGGGAACTACAAGAACACCCCTCCCTGGTTTGCCTCTATACAGCCAGCTGCCCAGCCAGAAAGAAATAACATACATTTCAGATTTCACATACAACTTCACCTCGCCACGAATTAAGTAGCAACGACATCAACAAAACAGCAACAACTGGACCTGGCCAGAAAGAGTAATTCTGGCCACTCAGGCAACTGATTTGAGGAGCTTATACAATTAAACCTTTGCAAGTAACTGGGTGTTAATGTAGGCCAGGGGAATAGAAGAAAATAAAAGCGAAAACACGGAGAAAATAAAGTTCTATAAAGCTGTAGATGCACTACGCTGTTTCTCACACTGACGAGGTACTGCCCGTAGTACTAACTGACGCACCCTCCTCTAAGAGAACCCAGTTTTTAGGGCGAACGCATGCGGCCCGCCACCACCGCTCACGCCGGGCTGCGGCCGCTCCTCTCCACCCGCGGGCAGCGGCCCCGCTCCCTGACGGAAGCCCTGCGAGGTAAAGCTCACGTCCGGCCTGGGCTCCCACCGTCCCGGCACAGCCACCCCTGCCCGCCAGAGGCTCCGTGAGCCGCCTCAGCAGCGGAGGATTCCTCCCAGGCTCCGCAGCCCTGCCCTGGCGCCGAGACTCGGGCGCGGCCGAGGGCCAGCAGCGGCGGGGCGTACACGCGGCGGCCCAGGCCTGTTGGATGCGAGAGACAGCGGCCCTTCTACCCCTCATCCCCACCCCTAGCACCTCACCATAGCGACAGCAGGGCCTTCCTGGCCGACTTATTCCCGGGCGGGCAAAGAGTGGCGCAGGCCCAGCGAACAGCGGTGAGCCAGGAAGCTGCAGCGCGGCGAGAGGAGGCCGAGGACGACGCGGAGCGCTTATATAGAGAGCGGCCCGCCTCCATCCGGGAGCTATGGGACCTTTCACCCGCCCAGCCGCGGCCCGGAAGCGCTGGGGGAGGGATGTTGGGTTATTTGGGTTTCTCGTGTCGGGCTGTAGTGGGTTTGGGGGTGTTAGTCGAGGTGTTGACAATGAGAGCAGAGGGGCTATGACCGGCGGAGAGGAGCAGAGTTCAGCTTCGCTCCGGGGCCCACGGCGGGTTGTGCCGAGTGAGCAGGGGGGTCTGCTGGGCTGCCGCACCACCCACACCGGGCTCGGCCCACAGTCCGTGGGTCCTAGCGCCGTCCCGTCCCACTCCCCGCAGCATCCTGAGCGGCTGGGAGAAGTACCGGGTTTTGATATAGCCAGTCTT